TGCAAGTGGTTGGATGGAGCGACCCAGCATCATCGTAGCATCATCTGCATTACCAATGCTGCCTCATAAGAGATGCTGATGATGACCATGAGGATGATGATAAGGATGATGACTATGATGATAAGGATGATGATCCATCCGACCACTTTTGCAAGTGGTCGGATGGATCATCTGCCTTACCAATGCTGCCTCATAAGAGATGCTGATGATGACCATGAGAATAATGATGAGGATGATGACTATACTGATACGCATCATCGTAGCATCCTCTGCATTCCCAAGCCTCATGATGATGATGATAAGGATGATGACTATGATGGATGATGACTGCGGTGATAACTATCATCGTAGCATCGTCTGCATTACCAATGCTGTAAGACATGATGATGATGATGAGGATGATGACTATAAGGAGGAGGATGACAGCTATCATCGCGTCATCGTGATGGTGGTAAGGCTGCTGATGATGACTGTGATGATAAATATCATCGTTGCAACCTCTGCATCATCCAATGCTGCCTAATAAGGGATGATGATGACCATGAGGATAATGATGATCAGGATGAAGACTGTGATGACAAGAAAAGTTGTAGCATTGGTTGCATTACCAATGCTGCCTCATAAGAGATGATGATGACCATGATGATAATGATGATAACGATGAAGACTGTGATGACAACAAAAATTGTAGCATCCTCTGCATCGCCAACGGTGCTTAATACACACCAGGAATCGTGAGACAGCTGGTGTGTTGTCAACGATGTTGGCGATGCTAGCCCGCCCCATCCGACCCCTTCCGCAAGTGGTCGGATGGGTTGAGTTTCTGCTTCTGGTGATGCTGATGGTGTTAGCGCTGCCGGGGATGCTGCTGGCGATGCTGGCGATGCTAGACCGCCCCATCCGACCCCTTCTGGAAGAAGTCGGATGGGTTGAATTTCTGCTTCTGGTGCTGTTGATGGTGTTAGCGCTGCCGGGGATGCTGCTGGCGATGCTGGCTAACCAGCAACACCGACAACACCCCCAGCAGCACCAGCACCACCAGCATCACCAGCAAGTCAAATCTCGCCCATCCGACCACTTCCGCATAAGAGATGCTGATGATGACCATGAGGATGATGATAAGGATGCTGTCGATGATGATAGGGATGATGATCCATCCGACCACTTCTGCAAGTGGTCGGATGGAGCGACCCAGCATCATCGTAGCATCATCTGCATTACCAATACTGCCTCATAAGAGATGCTGATGATGACCATGAGGATGATGATAAGGATGATGACTATGATGATAAGGATGATGATCCATCCGACCTGGTCGGATGGATCATCTGCCTTACCAATGCTGCCTCATAAGAGATGCTGATGATGACCATGAGAATAATGATGAGGATGATGACTATGATGATAAGGATGATGACTGTGATGATACCATCATCGTAGCATTCTGTACATTCCCAATGCTGCCTCATGAGAGGATGATGATGAGGATGATGATTATGATGGATGATGACTGCGATAAGACATGATGATGATGAGGATGATGACCATGATGATAATGATGAGGATGACAGCTATCATCGCGTCATCATGATGGTGGTAAGGCTGATGATGATGATGACTGTGATGATAACTATCATCGTAGCATCCTCTGCATCATCCAATGCTGCCTAAGAAGGGTTGACGATGACCATGGAAATCATGATGATCAGGATGAAGACTGTGATGACAACAAAAATTGTAGCATTGTCTGCATTACCTATGCTGCCTCATAAGAGATGATGATGGCCATGATGATAATGATCAGAAGGATGAGGATTGTGATGACAACTATCATCGTAGCACCCTCTGCATCACCAATGGTGCCTAACGCCACACCACAAGAATACTAAAGAGATGATGATGACCATCATGATGATGATGAGAAGGATCATGATGATGACTGTGATGATAACTATCATCGTAGCATCCTCTGCGTCACCAATGCTGCCTAATAAGGGATGATGATGACCATGAAGATGATGATAAGGATGAAGACTGTGATGATGATTATTATCTTAGCATCGTCTGCATTACCAATGCTGCCTCATAATAGGCGATGATGACCATGATGATAAGATGATAATGCTGATAACGATGAGGATTGTGATGATCACTATCATCGTAGCATCCTCTGCATCACCAATGGCCCCTCACGCCACACTACAAGAATAATTTAGAGATGATGATGACCATCATGATAATGATAAGGATGATGATGATAGCAACTATTATTGCAGCACCCTCTGTGCTGCCTCATAAGAGATGATGATGACCATAAGGATGAGGACTGTGATGATATCTATCATCGCAGCATCCTCTGCATCACCAATGGTGCCTAATACACACCAGCAGTCGTGATAATGCCCTAACCAGCATCACCGACAACACCCCCAGCAGCGCCAGCACCACCAGCATCACCAGCGAGTCAAATCTCACCCATCCGACCACTGCAACGGGTCGGATGGAGCGACCCAGCATCATCGTAGCATCATCTGCAAGTCATCATCAGGCACAAGGATGATGATAAGAATGATGACTATGATGATAAGGATGATGATCCATCCGACCACTTCCGCAAGTGGGCGGATGGAGAGCGACCCAGCATCATCGTAGCATCATCTGCATTACCAATGCTGCCTCATAAGAGATGATGATGATGATGATGGCCACGAGGACGATGATCAGCATGATGACCATGATGATAAGGATGATGACTGTGATGATAACTATCATCGTAGCATCCTCTGCATTCCTGATGCTGCCTCATAACAGATGATAATGATAAGGATGATGCCTATGATGATAAGCATGATGACTGCGATGACAACTATCATCGTAGCACTGTCTCTAATAAGAGATGATGATGACCATGATGATAACGATCATAAGGATGAGGATTGCGATGATAACTATCATCGTAGCATCCTCTGCATCACCAATGGTGCCTGACGCCACACTTGAAACGTATATAAGAATAGGAAAGAGATGATGATGACCATCATGATGATGATCAGAAAGGTGATGATGATGATGACCATCATCATAATGATGTTAAGGATGATGCATCACCAGCAGTCATCATGAACATCTCCAATCGGATGATAATCATCATGACGCATCCTCAGCATCACTAGCAGTCATGATGATACTCAATACGACGCATCCTCTGCATCAACAAGGGTGTCTAACGCCACACTTGAAATGTATAGTATAGAATATAAAAAGAGATGCTGATGACTACAATGATAATGATGACCAGACTGATAACGAATCGGAACATCAAGACGCATCCTGAGCATCACGTGGACTTAATGTGCAGGATCAACCAGGTTTGTCCACTAATCATCATGACGCATCCTCAGCATCACCAGCAAGCATGTCCACGCATCTTCTGCATTTCAATTAGGATGATAATCATCATGACGCATCCTCAGCATTGCCAGCAGTCATCATGATGATCACAACTACGCATCATCTGCACCACCAATGGTGTCTAACGCCACACTTGAAATGTATAGTATAGAAATAGAAAGAGACGGTGATGACTACGATGATGATGATGATGTGATGATGATGTGATGAGAGTCATCACTAGCACTCGTCCCCAACATCAGTGATGATGATAATCATGACTACGCCGACGCATCCTCTGCATCTGCAGTCGGACCACCAGCAGTCATGATGATTCACCAGCATTACAAATCCGACGAATCCGACCCTTGCGGAAGGGGTCGGATGGACCGGCCACGTGTCGCCAGCATCACCAACAACACGCCAACAGTCGTGATATTCCCCTCGCCAGCCTCACCGAACATCACGAAGAACGTCCCCGGTGACGCCTGTGGCAGCTGATGACGACTATGACGATAACTGTACTTTGTCCAGTTGCAGCCGCGTCTAACCTTTGAGATATATATATATATATAAGAGATAGTCGTGACCATCATCATCATTACGCATCCCCAGCGCCGCCAGGAATGATGGCATCTGTAGCAGTGATGATGATCATCGATCACCCTTCCCATGCGCCTCCCCCTTGGAAAAAAAGGGGTCGGCGGATATGGGTCTTGCTTCCTGGTCCAACTTGTTGCGTCCTAATGTTCACCCCATATGAATCAACCAACCGGTTTATAGATATGGGGGTGGGCCCCTCCAACAGGTGTCTGATTCCCCACTAAACCCGCAAACAGTCAACATTGCTTGACTCCGGATCGGTTTTAGGGTGTGGTTTTTGGCAAAACGCGCTTCGAGAAGGCACGCCTAACTGCCTAACCTGAGAGGACATGCTCATGTTCACTGAGGGTACGGGATTTTTGGATTTGGACCCATGGCCGTGTAGGAACCGGGGGTCGCCTATTGGGTAGCCACTTGAGCTCTTTCCTTAAGCAGGGCTCCTTAAAAGATCTCCATTTTGCACCCATTTGAAACCTCTTTTTCAACACCAAAATAAAGGGCAACCACCATTTACAAGTTGCAATGTCCAGGTGTTTAATGCATCCGGATCCCTGTTAAGTCTGAAGTCGAGCCTAAACCAGCCTAAGTCCAGCACAATCGATGCGAGATCCAGGCCATGTTCAAGCCGGAACTCCCCTGCCTTCCAGGGGGCTGGCTGACTGGAGCCCAAGGTCCGGCGGATGCTAACTTCCATTTGCTGGAATGAATATGTTTTCATGTTTCCCTGTTGGTTTTAAAGTTGGAATCGATTTCACTACTGGAAATATGTGTTTGTTGGTTGTTGTTTTTTTCTGGGGTCTTCACCAAATGGAAGTTAACATTGCAGGAACAAGGGGCAGCCTGTAATTAGCGTTTTTACCCGCAACGTAAACCAGGGCTTGTGGTTTGTGGTTGGTTCCCTTGTGATAACTTTTGGCCAACTAGCGGGTGTTCCATTAAACCACAAAAACAACTTTTAGCAGGGCTTCGCAGATGTCGCAACCGAGTAAAGAGTTGTGTGGATTGAGGCGCCTTGAGTGCAGCGTCCTCATACTGGCTGCCCTCCGTGCGTGATAGCTGCCGGGGACAAGAGGAGGCGCGTGCCTTTGGGAGACGCGTTTGGCGTGCAGATTCGCTGAGATTCGCTGGGGCTCAAATTTACACAGACCGTAGGCCACAATTCTAGGGGACACTTCCCCATTCTTTCCAGGGATCCTTCTTTCCAGAAAACCATCAGAACCCGGGGGGAAACAGCTGGTTTTTGAAAAGAACGATGGTTGAAAAGAATGGGGAATTGACCCCTAGAACAATTGGCAGTGTACCGCATTTTCCCCCCCCAAAGGGAAGCCTTTAATGGGGATGTTGTTGTCTTCAGAATCCCCTTCTGGGACCCAGAAGGGGATGTAAATTGTATGTTGTTCCAGACCCCCATGTACCCAAGATGTCAACTGTTGTCTCTCTAATCATGGCTAAATGCGGTTTTAAAGTGCCCTGAAACCCCATTCTAGTCAACCCGGTTGTTCAGTGTCTTCCTTCTGTCCCACTTGATCACTACAGATCGCCAACCCAAAACAGGGTTCCTTTTTTCTACCGGACCATGGTCGCTGAACAACTGGGTGAGGTACCCTACCGGAACCTGAATTTTCTGATTGCAGTTCCGACAGTTCGAGCCAACGTTGTGAGCGTTGCTTGTAAGATCTTCGCAACAAGAAGCGCTTACAAGCCAAACTGTCAGAACTGTCCGACGTTGTCTGATTCCAGCTACCGGATTCAGAAAATGTCCAGGAGTCTAGTGGTTTTCTGGTTCCAGCTCCCAGCTCCCGGATTCAGAAAAAGTCATGAACCCGATGGTTTTTTTTGTTTGTTTGACCCTGTGAGTATCCCAATGTTTGGTGATGTTTGGGGCTCGCCAGCCCACAGATTCGGGATTTTCTGACCACATCGCCCATACGTCCCCCGCCTATAAGGGGTCCTTTTTAGGTGAGCCTGGTTGAAAATAGATGGGTTCCACTGGTTTAGATGGGTTTTCTTCCATTTACCAGGGAAACCCATCTATTTTTCCAAAAGGCCACCTATGCCCCCGCCCCATTCCCAAGATCCAACTCCTCAGGACGAGACGCTGGAGACGCCCTCGCCGGAAGGCGTGACACTCACCCTGGCGCCTCAGGAGGACTTGGAGCCGATGACTCCCTCCAGGCGTGCGCTTTTGCGCGGGCTTTTGCGCGGTGGGGGCGCGCTTCTTGCTTGTGCCGTCCTGAAGTTTTATTGCTTCCTGGAACCTGAAATTTTCAACTCATAGAAACCAGCTACAGAAGATTCTACAGGGAACTAGCCAAACTCCCACCAAAATCAGGGGTTTCCTGTAGAACTTCCTGTAGTTAGCTTCTTAGATCAAGCATTTGTAGAAAAGGTGGTTTGTCAAACCTGTGGTTCCCCAAACCATGTCCTATGAATAGAACTTCTTGATGGAAAATGGCTGCTTGTAAATGCTTGTTTCAGGTAGGTTTGTTCTGTTTCTGGTCTGATCAAGGTGAGACACTAAGGGTTCCCTTTTGTTTTTTCTTTAGAGCAAGACGAACATGTCGACCGGGCTAAAACAACAAAATTGTGTGGTCGTCCTATTTTCACGTATGCTCAAATGGAAGTCGAAATGGGGATGCGGCATGCGGTGTTTTGTTTTACCCTTTCTGAGACAAAGTAATGGCTCTGGGCTCTGCAATTAGGAAGTGTCATTTTGAACTAGCCTCAAATGGAGGAACTCTTCAAAATAAGTGATTGCCCCTTGATTTCCATGTAAGCTATGATTTCCATGTAAGCTACATGGGTACCCTCAAGAAGGACACCGCATAATTATTACAACTTGCCATGACTTGCTGGGCCCGGTCGTCAGTCCCTCAGTCTTTGGGACTCATTCGTGTTCATGGAATTCTACTTTATGGCTATTTGGTTGGATCTTTGGACTTTAACTTGCTTCAAACAACGGATTCTGCGCATTGGACCCACAAGGTGAAAACTTTTGCGGAGGGGCCGTTACAGCAACCAAGATCCCCTGAAGACTTCCATGGCTCTTGGGTCAGGGCAGTGGGTGAGGCCTGTCCCGCTTCCAGTGGACTTTGACAAGGACTGAGCCGCCTGACCTTTTCGTTCCTTCGCCCAACAGGCGCAACCGCGCCAGCGCTAGCGCGCGAAAGATCGTTGGACCATTCGGGTGTGGCCCCTCTTTTAAGGGGATGTTCAAGGAGATCTTTGTCAGCAGGGGGGTCTTTTTGCCACCTTTTGTGAGAAAATGGGCGACCCCCTCAAAAAGGAATCCTTCGCTACGAGGGGGTCGATCAATTGTCCACAAAAGGTGGCAAAAAGACCCCCCTGGAGTTCCCGGTTGGGAAGTTAACTTGGGAGGGGACCCAGGGCGACTGGGCGACTCGCAGATGTTTTTCAGGAAGAAAGCAAGGGGATTTCCTAAGCTGTGGACCTGAAAGTTCATTTTTGTTGACCAAGGCTTACCCTGGAAGGCGCCCGCCTTCCAAATGACATTGGGGGCGAATAGACTTTGACTTGCAAAGAGCTACATGCAGAATTTGGGTGGCTCCACCCGACCTCAAGGATCTCTTGGCCACCCGCTCAAAGCTGAGCTAGGGGCTCCTCTCATGGAAATCCAAGCCACGGGATGCCCTTTGTTTTTCCCCAAACAAGCTTGTTCAAAACTCATCCCCAATGACTTGCGGATTAGACAGTTGCGGCGCTTTATGGATTCCCGATTTTGGGTCGCATGGGTTTGCAATGCTCCAGTTATAAGGTTTCAATTCCCACTTTGCAGCGCGGATTTGCGGATTCAGACGATTACCGACCAGACAAGGGATGAAGCAGATCACGGATTGTGATTAGGCCCCAACGGATTTGGAACAGGCTGGTGAAGTACTGTGTGGGCCACCGTGGTGCTTTAAGGTTCTTCTCGTGAACAGTTTAGAGACACTGAGAGCTGTTTCCTGGCGTGGCTGAAGCTTGGCGTGGCAGCTCTGGGCCCGGAAGCAGGATACAAAGTGCTGACTGCATTCATACAGTTCAGTGCCTTTCTTGGTTTCACCCAGTTCATTCCGGTTGGGTTTACCATTCATACAGTTCACACTGCCTTGTTTGGTGGACTGGGTTGGTCTTGACAAGTATCTTTTGCCGACGGCACAGAGCGGTCGCCATCCCCTCCATCCGCAAAGCAGACGTGGCTGCGGTCCAACCGAGAGCACTGCCCGAGAAGAGCTTTGCCCGAGGGTATTCGCATCGAGCCTTGCAAACGAGATGTTCAGGCGGCCAAAATGGCGGTTTGTTTTTGCTGTACGGTTCGCTGTTGAATGGGACATAAAAACGGGCCACCGTTTCTGGCCGTGAAATCGGGACACGTCCCAACCGGGGCGTTCCTGCCGGTTTTCCGCGGGCAGAAATCGAAGAACATCGGCTCGGTGAGTGGAGGTAACGGCAGCCTGAGAAGCGCCTCGGCCAATGCGTTGAAAAAGGGCTCGGGGTCTCGGGGCGCATGGGGTCAGCGCTAGTTGAGGGGGGGGTGGTGGTGCTAAGGGTGGAATGACATTGCCCTTGTTCATACCGCTTGGCTACCCTGGTTGGGGGAGGGGTATGAACATCAGGCCTTCTGGGTTCATGTGCCCAAGGGTATGTAAAAGGGGTATGTACAAACACCCCCGGAGTGTTGCGTTTTTTGAGGCTCGCCCACTTTGAGGTGGTGCCAAAGGGAAACCAACAGGGTCCCGTGCGTCTGATTCATAGCAAAGGACAGAAATTCGGATCTTTGACCTTGAACTTTTTGGGGGAGTTGTACGCATGTTCCCCACCAAGCCGCAAAAGTTGCAAACTTGTTGCGCCGGGATAGGCACACCGTGTGCTTAACGTAGTTTGCGACGGTGGATGTGTTTTCATTGCCGTCACTATGGAAATCAACAGGGGATGGAGAATGGATCCCACGAATCTGTGATCGAAGGTCCCCCAAAGACTACCCCGCCATGAGAGGAGATTGGTTGGAGAAACGGATTCCCTATCACAGAAGTGGTTGGAGAAACCCCGAGCTATCCCACAACCTTGAAATTTGGTTGGATTTGCATGAGACGGTCGCCTTGAAAGGGACGCACGGAGCTGCTTTCGAGCCGACTGGAACATGAACCGCGCATTCGCCCGTGGCAATTTGTGGCAGTTGACCCGTTTCCTCACCTCCAGAGTTCTCAGGTTTCGGCCCTGAGTCATTTTTTTTTTTAAAGGTGTTTCAGCATGTGCGTGGTAGACACACACCGTGTGGTGACTTTTTTCCGACCAAGGGAGGCCAGGGGCTGAGTTCCCAGTGGCCTGCAGGAGTTTCCTGACGAGCCAGTTGGTCCCGAGAACATCGTGGTGCAGTCGTTGGAGGAGACGACGACCTAGACCTAGATAGCCAAGTTGCGATCGCTTTTTTCAGTCACTGTTGCTGGTTTTTGGGGTAAAGTGCATGGGACAAAAGGCGGCAACTGGCGATCCAGGGACTTTTTGTTTCCAACAACACATTTATACATTTTTCGAGTTTTATCAAAGGCATCAGCGGTGGCAGATGGGTCGCCCCAGAGATGCGAACCAGAGCAGAACTCAGTGACCGGCTCACGTTGGCCAGGAAGTGGAAGAAGGGGAGGCGGGCGGGCTGTGACTGGCCTCCGAACAGCCACGCATTGAACGTTTTCTTTTTGTAGCAACTCCCTTCCTTCGAGTTGCTGGACGTTAGCCACTTGGGGTTTGGAAATTTTTTGGTCAAACTTGGAACCGCTTTTTGTGTCCGTCTCCGACCACTTTTTGGAACCACTTTTAGCCACTTTTTATTTCCGTTTCCGTCCTTGGGTCTGGAAATAAACAAAAATCAGACTTAGTTTGGCCAATCCACTCAGGAAGTGAGTTGTACCGGTGCAATTGGTTTCAGGCTTCCATCGTAACATCGCGTCTCATGCGACGTTACCATTGCGTGCATTCTGCCGATGTTTGTAGGGGTACCTTCCATTTCCATTCTTTCCAGTCATGCTTCTTTTCAGGAAACCATCAAAAACCCAGGGGAAACGGATCCTGTTTTTGAAAAGAACGAAGGTCGAAAAGAATGGCAGAGGAAGCAACCGCTCGAATCTTAGCATATGTAAACCCGCGGGCAGGTTCTTGACGAGGCCACCGCTCATGCAGCTCGCCCGCAACTTTCGAGCTTTTTTTGAAAGCCACGGCTTCCTTTTGGCTTTTTTGGGTGCCACAGCTACATGCCCCGCAATGGGTGCCGGCAGGTTTGGGTTCCTAAGTCACCGGTTGCTGACACATGAGTTTGCTCTTTTTTTAACGATCCTTTGCCACTTCTTTGCTTTCATGTCGAGAGCCTGAACAAGTGCTCCTATCTGTGGCAAGTGGGAACCAGGCAAAAGCTCGGCTTCAGAGCTGCCAACGAGTGAAGCCGTCGCGTCACGTGAGGTCAGAAGACAGCCGCCCCTGGAGGCGGGGAACATCAAGTGAGCAAAAGACAAGGGACCCCTTCTCAGAGGAAGGCAGTCTTCCGAAACCACCTTATGCGCTTCCAGAATGTTGACCCCGCATTAATAAACCCCTGTTTATTATATGGGGGTGTTCCCCACCAAAAGTGATAAATCCCCCACTAAAACCAGGGACACCCCCATATTAATAAACAGGGGTTTATTAATCCTGGGTCAACATTATTGGGTCGAAAGAGGGTAAGTCACGCGTGCTGACACCCCTTCCGAAATTGTAAGGATTAGTGAGGGCCTTTGCCCCAAAATGTCGCTTGCTGTTGTGACCAAGCGCCCAAAACCTTTCCCCCAGTAGTGCCCTTATACTTTTTTTGAGGCAGGGTTCCCCTACTAAGACAGACTACAGAAGAAAGGGTACCCTTTATTCTAACCCCTCTACTAGAGGACCTTGTAAGGGACCCCCAAAAGAGGTGATTTCCCCTTTAAACAACCTCAAAAGGGTATCACCGTGTACCACCAAAAGTCACTCCCATATAATTCAGTACAGAACGAAAAGTTAATGGGTGAAACGTGCACCTGCACCAGCTAACATGCGGCAGCTAACTTGCGGATCGACAAGTTTTTTGGTCGCACCATGCATCCGTCACAGATCTACAACTAGTGACACTAGGCGCATTCCTCCCATGTTTTTCGTCATTCGTCATCCTTTTTCCCAGCGAGCAGTGCCAGCTACTGTCACGGGTGCTTGTTCATCCCCTGCGTTGGGACCTCGTTCGCTTTGCATGGCATGTGGTCTCAAGGGCAATCCACGCGAGAGATTGCGGGGGCTATTCATCCGGATCTGTTTGTCTGGGATGGTGCCTGTTCGGGACCAAAATGGACGCCATCCATTTCACCGAAGGTCCATGTTAAACGAAACCCCGTTTCATGCTTGGCTGACGTTGGAAGGGGAGCAACAAATTGGATTTTAGCAGCTGAGCCCGACCCCAGAAGGGTAATGGTCCTTTTGCTTTACCTTTTTGCCAACCCCAGAAAGGGTGCCCTCAAACTGGGTGCCAAACTTCCATTTGCTTCGGTGCGGGTATGTCAAACACATCAGGTCCCCACAGCCCCCCCAAAGGCACTGTGATCCTTAAGTTCTATTTCGATCCCATCGGTTCCATGAATTTGTCCCTTGTCCCTGGCAATTCCTTGTCCACAATCAGTTTCAGGAAGTGGTTCACCTTTTCTTGTTTCCATGCAGAGACCCCAACAGGTGGGAGGTGTCCTCTTTGTTTACTAGGTCCCCCAGCTAGGTGCCCTTTCTCACCCCTGTTTTGGTTGGGAGGGTTCCCCTATTAAAATAGACTACAGAAAAAAGTTGGTACCCTTATTCTCACCTCTCTACTGGAGGACCTAGTTTACATCCCAAAAGGCGGGACTTCAGGAACGCCAACGCCCTGAAAATTCTTGTTTGTGTGGATTCTTCTGGCCCCACGCCCAAATGCGGATTGGACCGCTGGGAAACGCGGATGAGGACAAGGCAATACCCCCAAAAAATGGGCCTCAAGAGGTTGAGGCATAGAACCCCTCCATGGACCCACTGGAACCGCCCCCCTCATTTGCCCTTCTGAGGGCTCCATGAAACACGCTCCGCCATGAAACGGATCGATCCGGATCGATCCGATGCCTTCGAGCCTTCCGTCGAGGCGTGGACGCCCTCAGAGGTGGAGGCCCATCTGCAAACCACGCTGCAGCTGGTGCAGGCCCACGAGGAGCCAGGACCGGAGTCTCAGAGTCTCGGGCGCGCGCGGGTTTTTCACGGTGTGCGAGGCTCTGAGAATGCAGCTGGGTGAAGGTTTTTACGACCTCGCACGACCGAAGTCATCCCAAATGGTGGTTTCTGTGCGGAATTTCCCCCAACCACCTGATTTCAGGTTGGTGAAATATTATGATTCACCCAGATGCATCGGGCTCGGAAAATGCAGCGAAGGTTCAACACCGGGAGGACAGCTTCACTGTCGTTGAATCAAGTTTGTTGGTTGAAAACGGCTCGAACTGTTGCTGGATCAAGCGTTTGAAGTTGTTTTGGTTTTTCGGTTCAGTTAGTAGGGGGCTGCAAAAAGCAAAGCTGCTTGCTACATACCAAGGGTTGCAAAGACAGGCATTGTCTTTGGGGTGTCTTTTTTTGAGGGTGTTCACATCTTTCTAGGGGTAACTTGCCCATTCTTTCCAGGGATCCTTCTTTCTAGAAAACCACGAAACAAATGGGGAAACGGATCCGGTGATTGAAAAACCCCATGGCTGAAAAGAATGGAAGAGGAATCAACCCCTAGAGTTTTGTGGGATTCCCGAAAGGAAACCGCCAGTGGGAGGGTTTATCCCCCAACCAAAGTCTGAACGTGTTTTTTCCGAAAAAGTATAGCTACCATCCAACCGGTGGTTTCCTTCATTCGTACTGCATGCCCAGAGGCTCCTGAAACTTTCAATGGAAGACCCGACCCCTCCATTAGACACCCCGAGAATTGGTGGTTGGGGGTCTCAAAACCAGATTGTTTGAAGGCCCTACCTAAGTCAATCGGGAGGTTCTGGGTGGTTGGAATCAAGCAGAATCTTCAACCTCGTCGCGCCAGTCACGCTCTTCAGCGTGAAGCCCAACTCTTCCTCTGAGAGCTGGGAGTGGCTGCAGCTGCTGCAGCAGCTGCCGGAGCCTCAGCGCCCTGCGCCGCCCTGCGCCGCCCTGCGCTCTTCTCAGGGTCTGGGTAGCTTTTTCAGGGCCGAAGTAGAAGCCAGGTTCTCACTCCCTGAAAAAACCTCCTTTCTTTTTTTCGGACTTGAGTCACTTTTGGGCTTGGACCATGTTAGTGGTACCCCTTCTCACCCAGTGCCCCAGCTGCCGAGGTTGGAGGGGAGTAAATAAGAGTCTAGGTAGCCAGGTGCCCGACCTCGCACGGTTTCTTTTTTGGTTGGGAGGCTAAGTTCCGAACCCTACTAAAATAGACTACAGAAAAAAGGTTGGTGGCCTTATTCTATTCTCTCGACTGGAGGACCTAGGAAAGCGATGGGCTGGTGGGGCGCTTTTAAAGGAATTGTAGTTGTGTTGTGTTGTGTGTTGTTTGTTTGTTTGTTTGTTTGTTTGTTTGTTTGTTTGTTTGTTTGTTTGTTTGTTTGTTTGTTTGTTTGTTTGTTTGTTTGTTTGTTTGGTTGTTTGGTTGTTTGTTTGTTTGTTTGTTTGTTTGTTTGTTTGTTGTGTGTTTGTTTGTTGTGCGTTTCTTTGTTTTTTGTTTGTTTTGTGTGTGTGTGTGTGTGTGTTTGTGTTTGTGTTTTTGTTTCCGTTTTCGTGTTTGTGTTTGTGTGTGTGTGTGTGTGTTTGTGTTTTTGTTTTTGTTTTTGTTTTCGTGTTTGTGTTTGTGTGTGTGGTGTGTGTGTGTGTGTGGTGTGTGTGTGTGTGTGGTTGGTGTGTATGTGTGGTTTGTGTGTGTGAGTGTGAGTGTGAGTGTGAGTGTGAGTGTGAGTGTGAGTGTGAGTGTGAGTGTGTGTGTGTGTGTGTGTGTGTGTGTGTGTGTGTGTGTGTGTGTGTGTGTGTGTGTGTGTGTGTGTGTGTGTGTGTGTGTGTGTGTGTGTGTGTGTGTGTGTGTGTGTGTGTGTGTGTGTGTGTGTGTGTGTGCGTGTGCGTGCGTGCGTGTGCGTGTGCGTGTGCGTTCGCGTGCGCGTGCGCGTGCGCTTGCGCTTGCGCGTGTGCGTGTGCGTGTGCGTGTGCGTGCGCGTGCGCGTGCGCGTGTGCGTGAGCGTGTGCGTGTGCGTGTGCGTGTGCGTGTGCGTGTGAGTGTGCGTGCGCGTGCGCGCGCGCGCGCGCGGGCGTGCGCGGGCGTGCGCGGGCGTGCGCGGGCGTGCGCGCCTTGCGGCCGCGCGTGTGGCGCCGGCGTGCGTTGCGCTGCGTGCGCGCGTGCGTGCGTGCGTGCGTGCGTGCGTGCGTGCGTGCGTGCGTGTGTGTGTGTGTGTGTGTGTTACGGTTACAAAGGATTCATGTGCGCAATGATGTAGCCTTTGCATTCACGCTTCCGCCGAGAAAACGTGCAAGTGCACAGGCATCATCTTTCACGTGCATGTTTGTTGGGAGGGGACCCCACCCCCACCCCCCGACCCCCGCCCCCCCGCCCCCCCACCCCCCAAAGCAATTGCTGCGAAAGCATCCTTTTCTCAAGCTCGTATGCGCGCCTCCTTACGATTACACCCATGCTTCCGGTGCATTTACAATTTATTCCCGTTTCGAGGGTTCCCAAGACGCGTCCAAGCGGGTCTCGAACCTGAGGAAGCGCTTCGAGCGAGTGCAAGTGACAGAAGTCCCACTGAGCTTTCTAGGCGCGACGGCACGGAAGTTGTGAAGGTCCAAACCAAGCTGTTGGCTTGGGACCAGGCTTTGACCCTAGCCCAGTTGGGGGGTTGTGAGCATGATGGGCCTTTTTTGATATCCCCCTGGCGGCACAAAGCGGGTTAAGGGGCCATACATTCGAACCACTTTCGACAACTCCTTTGCGGTTGGACACAAGTCTCCATGTCCCTTGGGCAAATTATGACGAGCTCACCTGGGAGCAAAATGCGCTCAAGCATGAACATTCCTTCCGGCTTTTCCTTTCTTCCAGTTTGACTTTTCCCCTCCCGCTCTTTTCACATCGCACCGTTCGTTCTTTTGCGGTGTCCTGGCTTGGACCATGTTCTTTTTAGTTCGGGACCTTTCGTCCTGAACGTCGAACGGTTCCATGTTAGTTCGTGGGAAGGCCTCCGAAAAACTACCCCCCCCCCCATATAAAGAGGGGGCTCCCCATGAATTAACCGCTTTTTTCATGGACTCCACATCATGTTTGATCTTTGTCTTAAGAAATGGGATGTGGCTGCCGAGGTTGGAGGGGAGCAGATGAGAAGTCTGTGATGTGTGGGATTTTCATGTTATTTTGGCCAGGTGCCGAGCTTGCCGCCAACACCCACGCAGGCGAGTGCGTAGAGTCGGTGAGATACCAAGAAGGATTTGAGGCCTTCCACATCTTTTTTGAGAACCAAAATGAGGTGGAGTCAAGCACTTTCATCCTTGAAATCACGGGTTTCGCCTCTGAAACCCCAGTTTGGGATGCAATTTTTCCTTTGCGAGGAAAGGCTGGAAGGTGTTTGTAACTGTTTGTATGTTCGCAGCGGTGGTGATTGGTTGGCAAAGAAGTGACTTTCCAATCAGCCTTCTAAAACCCAGCCCTTTATGTTGCAGTAATCAATTTCTGTGTTCAGTGCCAGGTAATTATATACCAGGAAGTTCCCAACATTTCCTAACGACAAAACCGCCGTTTATCCACACGAAATGACCTGGACACCTTGACAGAACAATTTACTTGAGCAGGAGATGGCTACGATTTGTGTCCTTTGTTGTTTGATGTTTGGCAACTTTAGGAACGCGAAGAAAACGTCGTCGCTAAAACAGGGAGTTGCCTAAATCCTACCCATTGGCCCATGAGATTTCATATTTTCAGATTCCATCCTGAAATCAGATTCGTGAGGACTTCGAAGGAACCCCTTGGCACTAAGCCTTTCCCGACGGGGATGCTCCCCGGTTTGTCAAAGGGGAACATCACCTGTCTCCTTGCCAGTCTGATTGGCATATGTGGGGCTCCAGGAAAATTCGAGTTTACAAGGGGCTCAAATGAAAGGTAAAATGGGGAGTGAACGAGGGTAAGCCCTCCAATAAGTTACCCTTGGAGTGGTTTGAAATTAAACAGAAACACCACCCATGAGGTTCCCTGCTTTTGACGCATGCTCAACTGGTCTATGTGTGGTTGTTTGTCTTTTCTTCGGTGGGCTGGGCCAATTTTTTTCTGGCTTGCCTTGTGGTCCCCCTTGAAACGCCACCCCAAAAAACCGGCGACATGCGGTTTTCCCTTGAAACGCCGCCCAAAGAAAACGCCGACATGAGGTGTTCCCTTGAACCTCCACGCCAAAAAACCGGCGACATGCGGTTTTCCCTTGAAACGCCGCCCAAAGAAAAAGTCGACATGAGGTTTTCCCTTGAAACGCCACCCCAAAAAACCGGCGACCTGCGGTTTGCCCTTGAAACGCCGCCCAAAAAAAACATCGACATGAGGTTTTCCCTTGAAACGCCACCCCAAAAAACCGGCGACCTGCGGTTTGCCCTTGAAACGCCGCCCAAAAAAAACGTCGACATGAGGTTTTCCCTTGAAACGCCACCCCAAAAAACCGGCGACCTGCGGTTTGCCCTTGAAACGCCGCCCAAAAAAAAACGTCGACATGAGGTTTTCCCTTGAAACGCCACCCCAAAAAACCGGCGACATGCGGTTTGCCCTTGAAACGCCGCCCAAAAAAAACGTCGGCAGGAGGTGTTCCCTTGAAACGCCGCCAAAAAGAAACGGCGACATGAGGTTTTTCCTTGAAACGCCACCCCAAAAAACCGGCGACCTGAGGTTTTCCCTTGAGCGCCGCCCCAAAAACCGGCGACCCATCCGCCTCCAAACGACAAAGGCCAATATATGGTTTAAACACCACCTTTACAAGGGAAGAATACTCCTTTAAAAATGTTTAAACCAATGGGTGGCCCCACCCTAGGGGGAGGGGGGGGGGTTGGGGGGACGACGGTTTGGGGGGGGGCGACGGGTGGCAGGCCGCAAGGCCATCCTGGTCTTCGCCGGCAGCAGCGACTTGGAGGCCGCCGTGAAGCTGGCCCGCAAGAGCCAGGCGGGGGTACGGGGACGAGCGAGCGAGCGAGCGGCTGTTGCTAGCGGGCGCGTGGGGGATGATCGGTGGGTGTGCGGTGGATCGGAGCAGAGCCGTGTTTTTTTTGGGAGCCAAGAGGGGGGGAGTGCTCACTGTTTGAGGTCCGTTTTTTGGACTTTACAGATTTTGGGGGGGTTGGACTATGTTAGTGGTGAATAGAAAGTGTAGACTTGGTTTGGCCAATCCACTCGGGAAGTCAGGAAACCCAACAGCCGAACAAGGGAGGTCCGGGGCTGGTGACGGTTTTCCAGCTAGCTGTGGGTTTTCCAGCTAGCTGTTTGCCAAGATAGGCGACAAAGGGTGGTCTGGGGCAGCTGGGGGGGATTAGGTTCCAGGAGGTTCCGGGGCTGTTGGGGATACCACATGACCACCTGACCATTTTTTAGGTCGGGACCCCTACCTTGGTTTCTTTGGCGTTCTTGGGCATGGAGGTGCTGCCCCCCCCCCCCAAAGAAGAAAAAGGCATTGGAGTTCCTTTTCGAGCTGGTGTTTGGAAGGGGGCAGTTACGTAGCTGGGGGCATCTCCAAACTATTTTGGGAAGGCCTGTATTCAGGTTACCCCCCAGCGGTTTGGATTGGTTTCGATTGGGTTTCGAGGGCTTGTCTTATTTTTAGGAATCGGACGCCCCAACAAAGCCATCGCACAAAAGGGTACCTCAACAAGATCTCAAATGCTTGGTGTCCCTCTGGTTTGCCTTGAACTCAACCCGAAACAGGCACCCTAAAAAAGACGCGCACACACACACACACACACACACACACACACACACCGCGGGCGGAAAGCCACGAGCGGTTGACGTCCAAGGCCCTAAAAGAATGTTTGTACCTATTGGTAGAAGACAACAGGCCCCCTTTTTTCGGCTGAGGCTTTGCCAGTCCTAGCTGTCCATTGCGTTTGTTGTGCGTGATGATTGGAAAGACGGCTAGCCTAGAAGAGTGAAGCTGGAGGTGTGTTTGTGGAGTGGTTGTTGTCGGGCTGGGGGGGAGTGGATGTGTGGGAAACGCATCAAGGACTAATGGGAAATGACGCAAGTCCGTTCAGAAAAGGAATTGGGCCAGGTGGTGACTCTCATTTACATTTTGGCTTGGAATGTTGATCGGTTGGTGGACGTGAACCCCTATGCGAAGAGCATGCGCCAAAGGTTGTGGGCGCCAAGGTTGCTGTGATACTGAATGAAAAAATCAGCTGCGGTCGCGGGTCGGGGGTCCACATATGGTGCACATGTGCATTTGGCACATTCTTGGGGACGATACCCACAAAGAAGACTTCAAAGAGCATGTCGGCTATTCCGAACATAGCTTTTGGCCTGCCCTTTCTCGATGTTTTTTCTGGATCGTCGTGGCAGCAGCAAGGGATCAATGCTCTTGCAGGCCAAGATCGTGGAATCCGAGGTGCTCTCCATTTGAGGCCTGTTTTGTGTATTGCGTCAATGTCTTTCGTTGGGTGAACCACGGTCCCGAATATGTTGTGTTTTTAGTGGTTCAAAACGCGTTCTTTCTGATAATTGATCATGTTGACCGGGGGTTCGTCAGCGTTTAGAGGCGATGTAAAGACCCTGTGATTTTTCCTTTGCGTCTCACAAATTCAACCGATCATAGCCTGGGTTGCTGGCAGGCAGTGTAGCCAGTAGCCGGCTTTGGCTGCTCGGCTGCGCTCAAAGTTTCTTGCTGGCAACCATTGCCCAAATGGGCAACCATGGCCCAAATGGGCAACAGAATTCATTGCCACCATGCTCTTCCATGGCGTGCCAAAACATTGGATTATGGCAATCAAGTCTGGCACAGTTGGGGGGAAATCAAGATGTTGTTTGAAACACAATTTCATCATTTCTTTGATTTTCTTTTGTTCATAGTTTGTGACTGCTAAGGTACAGAAGCCCGTTATGTTGTTTTATCTATAACACATATCAATAAGATTCGAATCTTCATTTGATTGTCGTAACTACCGTCTATTTAATAACAATTCCGAAAATAGAAAAACATGATCCCCGATCTCCAGTCGTTTTACGTTCTCCCCAAACATAAACACAAGAAGCTTTAAATCTAAGTTTACGGAACTCTAAATGATATCAGGTGACACGGGATGACACGGCGACAGATACGCAATGGTCAAGAGTGAATGTAACTATGTTATTCTTTGTTTGAAATCATTTAGTTTTATAATTGTGTGTTATATATTTTTAGAATGTAAAATGGGATGATATGTATTATGATAATATTAATATATTATATAGATATAATTGATTTTATATTGATTTTTATGAATTTGTTGTTGGATGAACATGGTTTAGATGCAATTATTAAACATACATAAACGAAAATGGGATTGGATATGTATTTAATATATTTAATATAATAAATTAATATATATTTACAATAATAAAGTATATATATTTATAAATTATTTATTATTTAAAATTTATTTATATATATATATATATATTTTTTTTTAAATATTTATATTAAATTTGGTTTATTTTTTAATATTATTAATTAATTTTATTTTTGATATTTGAATATATATATATATATATTAATACTAATTATAATTATGTTGTTTTATTTTAAACTATATTAATAGGATATAATTATTATTTTGTTTATTTTATTCGTTTATTGAATGCGGATTCGTGTTTATATTGATGATATAACGATGGTATTTGTTTTAGTTATTTAATTATTTTATATTTTATATTTTAGATTTATAATATTATTGATTCGATTTATAAGGAAATTATTAAATAAATTATGGTTGTATATAATAATATTATATATTTTCGAAAATGATGAAATCATTAGAATTTTATATGTATTTTAATTTATTCAATTCTATATTTAGTTATTAATTATGGGATCCGGCGCGGCGGGACTTTATCATCTGGTAAGCTATATGAACCTAATTTGAATATTTTTGTAAAATGTTGGATCCTTATTTCGGCCAAATAGCCTGAAATATTCTTGTTTATCCGCCAAAAGTAGCTCTTTCTCTTTTTTTTGTTTCTCTATTATTTTTGTTTTTTGTAATTTTTGTGATGCAGAATTTGATAATTTCATTATATATATTTTAATGTTTTATATCTTTATATTTCTTGGTTTTTTCTTTGTTTATTCCTTCTATTATTTATATATATATATATTTCTTTTTCGGTATGTTTATATCTTTATTTATAATATATATTAATTAGTTAGCACTCGGCATTCTAATGTTGAGTGCTAACTGTTTGGGCGCTTTCGCGGCGATTTTTTGCAAGCCGTGTTTGAGGCCCAGCAGTTAGCACTTCAACTTGTCTGGCGGTCGGATTGTTTAAGGTCTTTGAAATGAGGCTTGGCATCAACACATGGGCATTGTGGCATACGTCTCAAGAAAAAACACATAGGGAGGAGGGAAGTTCGGGACGAACATGCATTTGCGTTTGCATGTAACATGTTACAACATTCGGGCAACACAAGCTTCTTTATAATGTCAGTCGTTTATTGCTACGGGCGCGGTTTCAAATCGTAGGAAGCATTGTTTTAACGGTGGAGTTGCCAGGCTTTTGTAGGAGCTCGTTGTTTGTGAATCCCCAAGACAAATTCAATTATTAAGACAGTTGATTGCTATTGCAGGAAACGGCAAATATTGTAGGAGAAACGCGTTGTTTGGCTTCCGTAAGAGGGTCTGATGCCTTTGCGTGGCATCCGCGTTCGCCCCAAGCATGATCCCGAGCGGGATCGAGCGCGACTTCGCTTGCTTCTGCTTTCCCCTTGTGTGGCACCTATGTTCGGCCTAAGCGGGATCCCGAGCGGGCTCGCGAGCCTAGCCGCTTTGGAATTTGTAGGCGCCTGCGCGTTGCATCCATAATTGGCCCGAATGGAATTCCGAGCGTGGCGGTGTTGGTCCTTATCTGCGCCTTGGCACGGTGTTTGACCCGAACGGGATCCCGAGCGTGTCTGTTTTGGTGCTTAGCAGCGCCTTCGCGTGGTGTTTGTGTTCGGCCCGAGCGGGATTCTAAGCCTATTTGCGGGCGCGGCCCTAGCAAAACTTCGAGCGTATTTATGGGCTTCTAAGAGTAAAACTAGAGCACGGTCTTTTTTGTAGGATGCTGGATTTGTTATTTTTTTGTTGGTAAAATTTTTATATAGTGTCTTAGTCCAGCTTGAGTTCGGGATTTGATGGCCTAAGCATTTTATTACGATAATACAATAAATTGGATATAACATAGATGTAACACTTGGACAATGTAGCTTTTTGATGATATTAACTATATTGCTACGGGCATCTTTTTAAGTCGTAGGTAGCATTGGGGCCCGTTCCTAACCAATCTATTAAGACAATTAAAGAATCCCATAATAAAAAATAATTTTAATGGAAATTCTTATTTCGTAGCAATTAGTGATTTCTTAATTGATTTTACAATAATATGGAATTTTATAAAAACATGATTTATTGGTTGTTTTAATATTACATTATATTTTTCGGCAACGGCAATGGCAAAAACAAAGCAGTAACAAAAACGGCAACGGCAATTTTGGAAGTAATTACTACGAAATTATTGTATGCACTGGAGCTAATTCCGTAGTAGTTTGGCAGTAATTTGGAATTAACTATTACGAAATTACTATATTGGAGATAATTTCGTAATAATTTACAAATAGTGATTACGAAACTATTGCACCTTGGCAAACAGCCACAGCAACAGCCATGGTAATTTCCCCGTTAAAAAATCAAGTTTTAACGGCAATGGCAATGGCAACGGTTTGAAAAATTGTCCATGGTAAAAATTAATTTTCATAATAAATTTTCAATTATTAAGATAATTATTGCAGTAGGATAAATGCGTTGGCAGACGTAATACGAAGATTGTGCGTTGTATCCGTAGTTGGCCCGAGTGGAGTCCCGAGTATGGCGGTGTTGGTCCGTTTTGGTCCTTTTAGCCGCCTATGCATTATATTCATAGTTGGATGGGACACTAAGCACGTTTGCGGGCGCGGCCCCGGCAAAATTTCGAGCATATTTATAGGCTTTTAAGAGTAAAACCAGAGCACGGTGTTACTTTAGGATTATGGACTTATCGTTTTCTTGCTAATAAAGCTTTTACATAGTGTTTTATCTTAGCTTGAGTTTAAAAGTTGTATTACGATAATGTATTTGTATTTAGATATAATATAGATTTAATATTCGGACAATACGAGTTTCTTGATAATGTTATGTATTTTTGCTACGGGTGCGCTTTTAAGTCGTAGGAAGCATTGCTTTAGGGGTGGAATTGTCAAGCTCTTAAGGATGGAGTTGCTAGGCTTTTAAAAACCGGTTGTTTGTGGAATCCCAAAACCAATTGAATTATTAAGATAGTTGGGTTACCGTTGCAGGAAACGTCGAGTATTGTAGGAGAAGCGCGTTAGCAAGCATAATGCATAGAATCCTTGTTAATATGGCCAAAAAGGCGCAAGAGGGTCTGGTGTATGCTAATTCTATGGCTTCCGTAAGAGGGTCTAACAACGCCTTTGCGTGGCATCCGTGTTCGCCCCGAGTATAATCCCGAGCGGGATTCCGAGCGTGATTTCGCTTGCCTTTGCTTTCGCCGTTGCGTGGCACCTATGCTCGGCCCGAACAGAATCTCGAACGCGATTGTTACGTAGCATCCGTATCGTTCCAAATAGGAGCCCGAACGTTTGCACGTTTGCTTGCCCAAGCGTGCTTTACCTATTACACTCGTATTAATAAGTTACGACCTTTGAATTGGAGCTGCTAAAGTGCATTTCCTTCACTACACTGACATTTACAAGTTGCGACTTTCTTGCCGGAGCTGCTAAAGTGCATTTCCTTTACTATATATGTGCTGAAAAGCTGCGATTTTCGAGCCGGAGCTACCAAAGTGTATTTCCATTATTGTATTTGTGCTGACAAGTTGCGACTTTCGAGCCGGAGCTGCCAAGGTGTATTTCCTTTTGCTAAACAATTATGATTTTCGAGCCGGAGTTACCATAATATATGTCCTTTACTATTGACTTTCGAGCTGAAGCTGCCCAAGTGTATTTCCTTCACTATCTTTGTGCTAAAAAATTACGACTTTCGAGCCGGAACTGCCAAAATATATTTCCTTTATTGCACTTGTATTAAAAAGTTGCGACTTGCGAGCCGGAGTTGCATTATTAGGATTTCCATATATCAATATGCTAGAATTTGGCACTTAATAATCCATTTATATATTGGCAAATTCTTATCTTTTATTTTGGGGAATCATGGAATATATAAGAATTATGAATAAAATACATATAGAATATTTTAAAAAAGGGAGTATGTTTTTGCCTAAAATTTTAAAAGACGATAGAAAACGATAGGGTCTCCCCCAAAAACGGTAACCCCTACAATTGCAGCTTAGTTAAGGTGGGTAGGGCCCTTGCATGGCCGCCGTAAAACGATAAAGCAAATCATAATTTTCGAGCCATATCTATGAAAATATGCTCCGCATATATTAGACTTGTGCTCCAAAAAATTATAGAAATACATTTCGTATACTAAATTTAAGCTACAAAATTAAACAAAAATATTACCTATTCATACAAATTCCATATCAGCCAATCCACCGCACACCCTTCATTAGCTCACTAAGTTCTACAACTATCTTATCTTAATAAGAATTTAATATATATATATTCTATCGAAAAAAAAAACAATTTTCTAAAATTATTATTTATAAATATATATAAATATAAATAAGTATATATATTGTTTAAATAGTTTTATAAAATAATATAAACTTAATAATTTTCTTAAATTAAATAAAAATATTATGTAAATTACTAATTAAGTCCATTCATTAAATTAATATATCCAATTTAATCAATTATTAAAAATTAAAATAAATCATTATAATAATATAATTTTATATTAATTATTATAAATTTAAATTCATAAATATATTCATAATTAATTAAATAATCTATAATATTATTATAATCATTTCCAAATTTATGTATTTTATTATAAATAAATAATTTATTCAAATTATTAATGTTAAATATATATTATCAATATCAAACAAGAAATACAATATTAATATTATTTCTCCAATATATATAAAAAATCCTAATCCAATTCGATCCAATTCCAATCAACTCCCAAAATAAATCAATCATATACCCTTCTAAAAATTCTAAAAAATAAATCATTTTCTTATTAAATCACTACAATTATCGATTATTTGATTATTCGATTATTCAATACAAAAACTATAATAATTTCGTTCTAAACAAATATCAAATTCCATTTAAAATCGGTTAATTTCCCAAAAAATCCTCCTATAAACCAAAAAAAATCCTTTCAAAAATCAATCAATTTTACCCTCCAGCAATAAATCAAATTCCCCCCAAAACAATTTCAATTCCACCCAATAACCAATCAAATTCCCCGCTAAAAACAAAACCTATCGAACCCCCTCGTAAAACCAATCCCTAAAAACCAACCAAATTCCCCCAACCAAGCATTTCTTTCTAAAAATCAATCAAATTCCTCTCAAAACCTGCCCAACTCCCATCCTGCCCCCAGAAGAAGCCGGCTAAAAACACAATACCTTAATGCCAGCCATGAGCATTCGGGCAACACGAAGTGCTTTAAAATAAATTTCCTTGATATACTTTTCAAGCAACATATTCCAATTTCAATATCATTCTATCTTATCAAAAAATATTATATCTGCAACTTATCATTTGGTGCCAGATTCGAACTATGTAAGATGTCGTAGCCTTGGACATGTTTTCGCGGCGACACTGCTGGCGTTTCTCACCATAGCGCCAAAATCAATTGCCTGGGCCCTCCAGCAGAGAGCTTAGAATAAGGGTGCCCGTTTTTCTGTAGTCTATTTTAGTAGGGGAACCCTCCCAACCAAAAAAAGAAATGGTGAAAGGGCACTTAGCTGGGGGACCTGGTTGCTTTCGTGCCCGGATTTGAAGCCAAACCAAGCTTACTGTCTCAAAGGACCTGGGAAGAAAAGGTTCACCTTTTGGGGCCATGACTAAACATAGTCCAAAATAGAACTACCAAAAGGTCGAAAGGTGGATTCGCTTTGGGCAAGTGAGCTTTTCAAGAGTTCTCTACGCCATTCGGCTTTGACTTTAAAGCAACGCCTTAGGCCCTGAGTCTCTCCAGCACCTCGCCAGGGTGCCCAGGCGCAGCCCGTGGGCGGCGCCACGCGGGGAGGCATGTGGAGCTCGAAGCAAAGGCCGCACCGTGTCAACGAGCTGCCTGGGCTGGGCAAAACGAACTCGACGTGGACATACCCTCTGGGCAGTCTGCTGCAAGTTTTTGCCCCTCCATCGGCAGCTTAGCCGCATCCAGAATGACTCAGATGTTAGAATCATCATTGGACGAGATACCTGTTGAGTTTTTAGCTTTTATAGTGGTTTAACACGGAAAACACACTAGTTGGCAAAAAGTTAAAGTCCTACAATTCCTTGGCAAAATGCACCAAAACGAAGAAAGAACAGCTTGCTGGTGCTCAGTATGGAAGATGGGAGTGAACGCAGCGGTCCCCTTAAAGGAAACCACAGGGGGATTCATTCCCTCATTCCCTGCTGAACACCAGCAACTTGACAGCTCACTCCCTCTCTGTGTCTCCATCTTTTCTTTCTTTATTTCTTTCGTTCTTTCTTTCTTTCCTGCCTTCCTTTCTTTCTACGCGGAACCTTATTACGCAGGTGTGTCTCGGGAAAACAGGGCACAAGTACTATAGTTGCACCATGCAGCGCAGAACGACAACATGCCTCACAACCTGGAGGTCAAAAAACACAACTTTTCAGTACAAGTGCAGTGCGCGAAGCACACCTCCACGGCTCCAGCTTGACACTTGCAACTATTCAACGCAAGCCAAGAAACAGCCAAAACGAACCGCTGGCCCGGGGTGGGTTTGGGTCTGTAACGAGGTCTAAGATTATTCTCTTGTCTGGCCCCTCCCTGCTTCGGGGTATGCAACGAGGGGCATACAACCAGTCAGGTGGTTTTGTTTACAGAAGGTATGCAACGAGGGGTGTGTAACGAACCAGGCGGTCTTGTTACATAAAGTATGCAACAATGTATGTAATGAATGTCCGTCGCGGCTCTGCTACATACCCGTGAACAAACACCTCTCCTTGCAAAGTCGTCATCTCGAACACTTCATGAAGGTTCCTCTTGAGGCTCTTTGGATGTTCGGTTAGCTTGTCGGCACATCTGGAGACCGCACTAAGCGCGGAAACCGGTTAGCTTCTAAGCGCGGAAACAGCACATCGCTATTTCGGATTAAAGCACAGCGCGCGGAAACATCAAACGTGTTGGTTTACCTTCTCGCTGCTAACGGCTTTTCAGTACGCTTTTGACATGCATAAGTTTCAAACAACATGGTGTTTGAGGTTTCTGAAGTAGAACCGCGGCAAAATAGGACTAGAGGGAGACTGACGGGAACTACCAGCGCCCGAAGTGTTGAAAACGACGTTGGGGCTTTTTGAAATGGAGGATTGCCCGCCAGTTGTTTCATTCGTGTGCGTAGTCTTGTCTTGCGGATTCCTAACAGTGGATTTTGTTGGCTTAACCTTGCAGGGCGTTTAACGGGGCACAATGGGCTCAAAGACCTGATTCTCAGCAGCTAACTATGTCCTCAGATCTTAGCAGGTTACGTGCACGCCACATTAACCCAACCAAAAACATCTAAAAACCAAACAACCCGAGGAACCGGAAGGCTGGGATTCTCCAAGCTAAATGCCGACAGCTTGCAAAGTAGCTCTCGTGCCTCTTCCTGATCCGTGCGCGTGGCAACTGCAGTGTTGGCAATCAGCGCCTCGCCTCGGCATGTCAAAGGCCCAGCCCCAAGGCTCTCCATCGCCAATCGAACTCTTGCTTCGCAAGGGGATGAAGCCCCTCAACCAAAGGAAAGCATTCAGAACTGGCTTCAGCAAAAAGGGTCTTGAAATTGAACATCCACAGCCGTCCTCTTCCGCCCTCCCCGACCTCTACTTTCCCGCCCATTCTTTGTGCAGGCATCAAGGAGCCTGTGTCAGCGAGGAAGAATGCCAACGTCTCTGCCAGTTCAGGTATGCAGTCGGGTATGTACCTGGGCATCCCATCCATCTTACAGAGCGTCTTTGGGCAACACGCTAACGCTGCTTCCTCTAAAATAAACCTGCTGGCTGGAGAGTTCCCATTGACAGGGTCATGAGATAAACCCGAACACGTAACATGACTGCGTGCCACGCAACTTCTGTTGCGCAGCCATATTGTGTTTGTCGTGCGTTTCTGAAGCAACAGAGCTTGGTAGCTGTTGACCCCTCTGCAAAAAGCTGACAAGTTTTGGTGGGTTTAGTACGGAAAACCCAACTTGATTTCAACCAACAAGATCCAAAGTCTACAGATTCGTTGCCCAGCAGTCAAGTGATGATCCCCTTTCTGGATCGCATCGATCTCTGCAGGACAAAAACATGTGGCATTGCAGCGTCTGCAATGAGTGCGCAGGAAGGTCTTTTGCCACCTTTTGTGGCAAAATGATCGACCCCCTCGTAGTGAAGGATTCCTTTTTGAGGGGGTCGCCAATTTTCTCACAAAAGGTGGCAAAAAGACACCCCTGTGAGTGCGGACCTTTCAAAGCAGTGGCAAACTGGAGTAATTAGCGCCATCGCCCAAATATGGACCAATGCCCACTAAAAGGGGAACCATCCCCAATTGGCTGCGCCGCGCAACTTGTAAGACAAGAACCACAGCATCCACCTAACGCAAAGCAGGTTCTACCTGTTTCAACTTAGCCTGTCAGCCTGTTTTACAATGCTTAGCAACACTCAGGAAAAACAAAAACATCATATGTGGCAACACCTCCTCCAACGCATCAGGCACCAACACAACTTCTTGGGAATCCAGGCATGCCGTTCCAAAGCTTGTCCGGAATTGTGGTGTCTCTGCACATCTTGTGGAGCTGTTGGTCTGGCAATTCGCGCACTTCTTGGGGCATCACATGCCAAGCCTGTACAACGGCAACACATATTTGATGCTTTGACGGTTGGCAGGTTCAGCACCTCAAGAAGGAACCAAACAACCACCTGAAAAAAGAAGCAAAGACTTGAAACCATGCACAGGGGCGGAACGCACACGAACTACTCTAGCGATTAATGGAATCACGGTTAGATTTGGGCGCAGCCATCTATTGCGCCCCCGCGCCACTTTGAACTGTTTAGAAGCTGTGCAACAACACCGAATGTCAATGCGTTTACAGTATACTTGCTCTGCCAAACAGGTTTCCTTCCTTTTCCTTAGGCAAGTTACAAGGCATTTGTGAATGATGCGCCAATTATAATGCAACTGCGCACTTTTTGGTAGCAACTTTCCTTTCCGAATCCTTTTCCTTGTGCAACTTCCACACTTGCAAGACAAGAACCAGCATTTCACTGGACTTTTGGCAGCAATAGCCATCCCTTGGATTCCGCGGGCGATGAGCGAACGGCCTGAATGAGCCAAACGCAACACGTAGCCACGATGCCGGCAGTTGCAACACGAAAACAATACCCCTTCTTTCCTCACCAGTCACCTCGAGTGGATGCGTCAAAAAAGTAACCAAACTGGTTTTTGCTTCTTTAAATATATAGGTATATAATATGTATGTATATATATGTATATTAATATAATATTTGCCACTAACATGGTCCAAACCCCCTAGGGCGTTAAAACAGCTATGTGTCTCGGGCACGTTCTTCGATGGTTGAAGACGCAATCAATGCGGATCTAGGAGTTGGTGAGGATGCGCTTTTTGCAGAGTTCACCCGATTTTTGTTTACCGGTAAACTTTTTGGTACTCTTTCAATATTCTGCAGGGGTGCATCCACAAAAGCCGCCTCCAAACCGCTTTCTGGAGACCATGGGCTTTCCCCTTGCTCGCACATTTTCTGGATAGACACCGCCAATGAAGGAGCCCAAGAATCAACCCAACACCGCAACCCAACCCCAGGATTTGGAGCACTTGCCAAAAAGCACAGCTTTCACGTGGCAATGTCGACCCTTTGGCGATCGATTCGTTACGTCAGGTGCGCGGTTAGTCAGCCTGGTTGTTACTTACAACCCACTCGAGCCATGGTTCTAAGTCTCCTATGTGGGTTACAACCAAGGCTTGCGAACCACTTGTCTGACGTACCCTGCATCCATCGCCCCTCGCCGGCCACAAGCCGCCTGGCCAAGGGGCACAATCTCCGAACCGAGGATCCAGTCGAAGCTTCTGGGGCCGAGGCCCGACCTCTCCAAAATGACCGCGGAGATGCTCAGGCCCCCGATCGAGTGGCTGGGCCGAAAAAAGTAACCAAACTTTCTATTTACCACCCAGAGGCTCCTGGCTTCGGCTTTCAATGGAAGACCCGACCCCTCCATTAGACATGCATACCAGGTTGCTCGAAGGCCCCAAATCAATCGGGAGCCTCTGGGCACTAAAATGGTCCAAACCCAAAATGTTGAAAGTCCAGGAACTCAGGGAGTGAGATGATGTGTAAAAGCAGACTGAGGTTGATCCAAAGGTCCCGTGCACATGGGATGACTATCATGAAAACCGTCAAACTAATGGCCAGGAATATTGATCAACCCCAGATAGAGGCTTGCAATATGAGAGATTGATTTGCTTGGGGCGTTAGCAAGGCCAAGGGGTATGAAGCCTGAGAATGCATTTGCGTATTTGGGATGAGTGGGCTTTAAAAACACCGCGTGGCGACCACACATTTCAATGTGAATCAGCGTGGTCTTGCTCCAATTGGAGGATCCTTGGCGTGTGAAGGAAGCGACCAATGCGTGATGCAACAGGACCTCATTTATGATTCGCAGCTCGCAAGTTGTACGCACTTCAGCACGATTTCTCAGTCGGTCAGCCAGGCGTTGTCTGTTCAGTGGAAGCATTTGAAGTAAAAGGCTTGGTAATTGTGCAAGGCTTCTTTCCTGGACAACCGCAAGCTGTTTGATTCCCCAAGATATTCTTGCGCGACGAAATCAACGACAACTCAAGGGCAGCAATATGTTTCTTGAATGCTTCCAACACAACTACTGTCTTCTCCTCAAACTATTTCACACCCTGCCGCCCTACCCTGGTACGTGCGTTTGGGCGACGGCGATGTTGCCACATATCACCCAGCCGGCTTAAAAACGCATCGGCGTTAAGATACGCAATGCCATTGATGGAGCCAGCAACAACCGGCTATATAAGCTTGACGTGAGCACGCACACAATATGAATTGTTCAACTGCGCCAATTCAATTCTACTAATACTGTCTTGCTCGAGGCCTGACAAGTGTGGTCTCTTCTTAAAGGGGCATTGTACTTAGTAAGTGGCGAGTACGCCTGATGAAATAACCCACAAAAGCCATGGCTACAAGAATCCTATGTGGATTATAAGTTGGCTTACTAATCACTTGCCAAGTATCCCGCCCCTTCCTCCTCAGCTTTTGCCCCAACCGGGTTTTAATTTACATGTTCAATTCTAGCCCAGGTTTAGCGAACCTCTCGAAAAATCACGTCGGACGCGCTGCCGTCCTCTCGGCAGCAGCACGGCCCCACTCCAACTGCCGCGCCGACAGGGAGCCGCCGAGCCCGTTGCCTTGGAATCGGATCCGATGGTCCAGTGCGGGGGCCCGACGAAGGGAGCTGGCAGTAGCAGTAGCAGCAGCAGCAGCAGCAGCAGCAGCAGCAGGAGGAGGAGGAGGAGGAGTAGTAGTAGTAGTAGTAGTAGTAGTAGTAGTAGTAGTAGTAGTAGTAGTAGTAGTAGTAGTAGTAGTAGTAGTAGTAGTAGTAGTAGTAGTAGTAGTAGTAGTAGTAGTAGTAGTAGTAGTAGTAGTAGTAGTAGTAGTAGTAGTAGTAGTAGTAGTAGTAGTAGTAGTAGTAGTAGTAGTAGTAGTAGTAGTAGTAGTAGTAGTAGTAGTAGTAGTAGTAGTAGTAGTAGTAGTAGTAGTAGTAGTAGTAGTACTGTGGATGGACGAAATCCGCGAGTGGGGAGGAACCCACCAAAATGAGTTCACCCATCCTACCTTTGGGTCTGAGAAGCCCTTCTCCTATCTTTTTTGTTGACAGCGCTTTGTCCGGTGCGCTCCGAGTGGAGGCTGGATAGCGTATAGGGATCGGACAGCAGACTCTTTGTGATGCCCTTGAAACACCTTTTTGTTTCGCACTTGAGAGAATGAACTCCTTGCCCAAATAGTTGCCAAACGAGACAAATGCAACCAAATTGAGCGCTGTTCGGAAATCGAAGGCATGCCGGCTTCTGATCGAAAGCTGCTTTGGTTACGCACCAACACATCCGACCTGTGCGGGCAAAGAGATACTGTGGATGGACGAAATCCTGCACCAATTTGAAATTATAGGAAACCACAATTGCAATTTTCAGGGGATCATTATTCCAGGGTCACTTAGGTGGTGCAGGATTTCGTCCATCCACAGTATGTGCATGTGCAAAGAGACATTCAATGAACATAGCTTTCTCCCAGCAGGGCTGCGGTTTGTCAAGATTGGAGTTTCCACGGTTCCATGGCCGTTTCTTCGCCCATGTCACAAGGCTCCTTTGGGATGAACATCATTTGCGTTTGCATGGCTGGTGTGGCTACAGCCAAACCTATGCACCCCGTGCCCAGCATGAAATCACCTAAGCTGATTCCAAAACCACAAAATCATTTATCTCCTCTTAGCGCCTGACAAACACCAGGCTCAAGCCCGGAAATTCTAGAGCGTGCCAACGCAGAAATAATACACAAATAGCTCAAATGCCTTGGCAAATTTTCTTCTGCCTGTCAGCCACAGGCCACAGGTGGCTCTTTCACAGCCAAAAAAGGTGCGACAACAAAGCGTCCTGCTCTTACTGCAAAGTGCGCGGTGTCTTTCATTCTCTGGCAGGACTTTTGACGGGTCCTGCATTCCCGCAACAACCTGAAGCTGATTCTTGCATCTTCTCTGTCGGAGCCCGTCGCCCAGTGGCCCCCCTCGCTCCCGCCCGCTAGCGTCAAGTGGCTATCCCTGAAGTTGGCAGCATTCCTGAAGCCAAAGAGCGAAGTTGCAGCCTAGGTCCTCCAGTAGAGAGGTTAGCATAAGGGAGCCCTTTTTTTTTCTGTAGTCTATGCTAGTAGGATTTAGTAGGGGCACCCTCCCCCCAACAAAGGGTAAAAGGGCACTACTGGAGGACCTAGCAGCGGTGCGTTTCGCCTTTGGCGGTTTCCTGTTAAGCTACTTTGCTTGCCACATTGGATGCCTGACATTCCATGCCGGTTGCCAACAAATGTCGAGGATAAGAAATGACAAATAACACGTCTAACGCTGTTGCCTGTGCATAGACCGAAAGCTACAAGCAAGCACGCCATGATTCACGTGGAGCAGGCTGGCTGTGAGTTTGATCTCTGCCCGACTACAACGATCCTTGAATTTGTGGCGACATTCCTTCCATTTTAATCTTTGGAATGCCAACAACGACTATAACTCCTCTCAAGCAGAAGCCACACCTCTAGCCCCTTGCACGTGGTTTTTGCCTCCCATTCTCACAACTGCCAGTGATCAAAGGATTCTGCTTTCAATCTGTCAAGCCATGCCACAGCCGCCGCAGCCCCTTCCCTATCCTCAGCCAACATAATCCCAAAGCAGTCGGCGCCCCATTTTGAGATTTGCAGAAAGAACTGGAACGTCCCACAATAAGAACCGTAGCAGGAGGCCTAAAACCATGCCGAAAAGAGGATCGCATATATAAGCACTTTCCTTCCGACTTAGCCTATTATTCTCGTCTTAGATGCGCCAGCTCGCAGAGTGCATGAGTCTCTACAAGCTTCTTCTCCAAAAGCGGCAGCTCTTCTTCGTTCCCATCCGTTGCCACGCTGTGCGCGCCTGTGACGGCTCGAGCGGATGTGAAGCCATCCTACAAGACTGGAAGCAGTAGAAACTATTGCCACCCCCCCAAATAGGGACTTCTTCATGGCAGGCCCTCACTTCCTGAGTTGACAGTTCCAAAAACGTCCCAACTTATTGTTTGCCACCAAGTCACTAGAGTTGCTTTCCCCAAAAGCTTTGGAGTGCAGGATCTCAGGAAGGGAGGCCTTGCATGACTCTTCATACCTAACACGCTCCTTGAATATCATGTCTGACTAACGCACTGGCCGAACCACACTGGGTGCAATATCGCGTGCGGAGAAGTCGCAAATCCTAGATGATCCTGTTTGCAGAGCTTGCCTTTGCTTGCCTTCGCGTATAAATGCATGCGTTTATGTAGATTATATATATATATATACATATATATATATATGTATATGGCCATGGGTCAAAATCCCGTACACCCAGTGAACATCCCAATCCCCACTGAAATAGACTAAAATGGGTGGTACACTCATTGAGGAGCATCATAGGTCGTTTTAAACAGGCTCGCTTCAACATGCAGAATTCCAATGGTTTTCCAACGAAATTCCAGCGAAGTTCCAATGAAATTCCAGCGAAGTTCCAATGAAATCCCAATGAAGTTCCAATGAAGTTCCATCGAAATTCCTCCTAAGTTCCTTTATCCAAGGGTTTCAAACAAACTCCCTGGACCTCAGCGGCTGCATTTCTCAACTTAATCTGTAAAGGGGCTGCCTTTCAGACGAGTTGTTTGGGCCTCAGCAGCTGCACGTTTCCATCAGCCTGATACCGGGGCTGCCTTTCAAATAAATACCCGACCTCAACAGCTGCATTTTCCATTCAATCTGTAAGGGGGCTGCCTTTGAGACGACTTTCCCGGACCTCAGCAGCTGTGTGTTTCCGTTCAATCTGACAAAGGGGCTGCCTTTCAGACAAATTCCCTGAGCGTCAGCATCTGCATTGTTCCACCTGATCTACAAAAAGAGCTGCCTTTCAAACAATTTCAAGCTGCACTGTTCCACTCAGCCTGCTGCATATGTCCATTCAAATTGATAAAAGGGCTGTCTTGCAGACAATACCAAATCTGGTAAAGTTTGAAGGGGCAGCCTTTCAGACAAATTCGCTGGACTTCAAATTAGCTGCATTCTTGCACTCAATCTGCTTGTCAGTCTGACCCGGCTTCACGTTCAGGGGCGGGGGGGGGGGCGTCCAAAGAAAAATTGGAAACATGTCACAGTAGCCAATGTGACCAACCAACCCCACACCTGCACAATAAACTGCCGTCAAACAGGTGCCAAGTCTCCAAAAAAACACAAGCACACACACACACACAAACACACACAAGCACGCGCAAGACACAACCCTGTGTGACGCAATAGGACCCCTGGTCCCTAACCATCACCGGAAACAAACATCATCAGATAGCCAAGGGTGGCCCTGCACCCGCCAGCAATCATCAGCCCTCACCAGCACAGTTCCAGCCCATCAGCAGCTTGCACACTTTCCACTGTTTGAAAAGAAGGTTAGTCCACAGCCATGGCACAGCAAGCCTCTGTGCAAGTTCTGCAGGCAGCAGTCACACTCAGGCACGCAAGCAACCAGTTCACTTTTTGCCAGCAAACATGTCACTCTTTGGTGTCTCCTCTGAGCTTGCCCTTGAGTCACAAGCTTCTCTACGCCTTGTTGTACATCTTGATCTCTGGCAGGTTTCTGGTTGTAGGCTCCAAAGCTTTTAAATGCTGGGTGCGATGTGCCCAGGCTCTTGCTCCTGCACCCCTTCAGGGGTGGTGCCAGATCCTTCACAAGTCCCCACTTCTCCCAGCAAAACTTGTGCACCTCAGACAGTGCCTCCTGCCAGGTGCGCTTGCTCACAAAAGTTGCAGTCATGGTTTTCTTGGCCCACTTCCCTTTCAGAGCTGCCAAGCTCTACTCTTTGGTGGAGCCAGCTGGCCAAGGATCTTCTCAGGGCTTCTGTGCTTTGGCTCCCTGCCAGCCACCGTGCCAGAAGATGGAGCTGCTGCCTTCTTTGCCTTTGTGCCCCTTTCGGCCTCCTCTTCTGCACGTGCTTCTCCAGCACTCCCTTCCTGTCTGTGGAAGAGCCAGTTGCCTCTGCATCCTCTGCGCCCCTTTCAGCCTCCTCTTCTGCAACTGCTTCCTCTGTGCCCCTTCAGCCTCCTCTTCTGCAAGTGCTCCTGGCAGCAGCCTCTTCTCTGCCCTGGTCAGGCAGCTCCTTTGCAAGTGACCTTTTCAAGTCCAAGGCGGGCTGGGCTGAGGGCTGAGCAAAAAGCTGTCACTTCCTCTGCTTGGCCGCAAGGCCTCCTCTTGATGCACTGCTTCTGCTATTCTTTTTGGGGCCCTCTTCATGAGCCCTCTTCCAACCCCAAGTTTTTGGTTTGCTTCCTCTGCTTGTCAGCCTGCTTCTTCCCTCTTCCTCTGCCGCTCTTCTTGTCCTTGATTGAAATCCTCACTGCTTCGTCCTTGCTGGAAGCCATCTGCGCCCTCTATCTTTTCCTCTTCTTGTCTTTGAACTCCTTGAGTTCCTGTTGGTTGGCATCATCCTGCCCCAGCTCTGAGATTAGCTCTGAGAAGTCAGAGTCCCTGTCATCCTCCTGCTCCTCTTTTTCTTTGGGCAGCCTGGACAAGGCCTCCTCCTTCCTGGAACCTTTCTTGAAGCTGGCTTGGGCAAATCCCCACCAAGGTGCTTGATCAGCAGCTTCAAATGTGCCACAGTCAGGTGGCAGCCTAACACTGCACATGCCACTTCCAGTGGCAGCCTGCCACCGCACAGGCCCTCTGCCTTTGCTCAAAAGGGCAGGTCTGTAGGTGCGCAGTCCTCCAGGTCAAAGATGTGCTTCAAGTGTTTGTTGAGCCTGCTGCGGACATACATGGGCTCATCTTGGAGGGCGCCATGCTCACAGAAAGGGCCCAGGCCAGAAAGCTGTCCTCTCCTGAGGCAACCACTTTGAAAAGCATGGACACAGACTGCTGGGCAAGGGTTGCACCAGGCATTGCCAGTACAGACATCCACGAGTCATGGACGCCAACCCTTTTTTGCCCTGTTAGCGATGCTTCAGACCAGAACTTGGGGCGCTGGCCACACTCTGGAAAAGGCTCGCTGGTGATGGGGGCCAAGTGTTGCCAACCTTCTTGGGGAGCATCATCTTTTGAACCTCTGCTGGGAGCTTGTGCTTGGAGCTCATCAAGCTTGCAGCGATGGGATCCTTCATCCTCAGTTGTGGGGCCATAGCCTTCTCTCCAGCTGTAGCAGAAACTACAAAACATCTCCTCTCCTCCAAGGCGGCGCTTCTAGAAGGTCTTGGATTTGGCAGACCGCAGCAAGTCTCTCCCATGCTGGTGGGCATTCTCCACCATCCTGGAGTCCCCCATGGTTTTGCCCATGACGGCAACCTTGTATGCTGGGCCCAGAGGCGCCTGTCCTTGCATCTTCTTCAAAAGCAAGGAAAAGCAGTCTGACCACAGGGCTCAGTGTCCAGTGCATGTGCTTCAAGGGTGCAATCTGTTCAAAGCCTCTTCCAAGCCCAGCAAGGCTTCCCAATGCTGCAGGGCCAGTGCTCTTGCAGCTTTGGATCAGAGCTCAACACATGCAGGTATGTGTTGGGTGGCAGGCAGTGTGGGGAAGTCAGCTCTGGCCTGCAAAAGCCTTTCTGGAAGGTCGCAGTGCCACACCAGAGCATCCTCATGGACTTGCCACTGGGGGAGGACATGCTGAAAGTTCTTCTCTTCCCAGCAACAGTTCGAGATTGTGTCTTCAAGCTCACTGGCCCACCATCCTCGCTGCTGCCCCTATGTTGTACTCCAGGACATTGAGAGGGGACAAGATGCTTCTAGCCTTGTTGGCATGGTGCTTCCAAGCGGCCTTGCCCACCGCTAGAATGCAGTCTTTTGTGGCCATGGTGTGCTCGTTGATGAATCTGGGAGCACCCTTCTTCTTTTTGAGTTCTGCCAGCTCCTTCCTTGGATCATCGGTTTGTGGTAGCGCCTCATCCTCTGGCTCACTCTCCTGGTTGCCTCTTGTCTTAATCTGACTCAGTCTGACGGGGCTCTCATCGTCCTCCTCCTCCTCCTCCTCCTCCTCCTCCTCCTCCTCTTCATTTTCATATTGGGCAGCAGTGGTCGGCCATGCGCACCCAGGGGTCTGCAGATAAGCCTGATTCCATGGTATGGCAGCAGGCTGCCAATGCGATGGCAAGAGCCTCTTCTTTCTATGTGAGGGCATGGTTCCCTGAGCCAAAAGCTGCAAAATGCCAAGCAAATTCCAATGATTTTCCTTGGAGGAAACTCATTGGAATTTCACCTGAATTTCACTTGAATCTCAACCCCAAAAACCCAGGCCAAAGAGACCCCATCTGAAGTAGCCCATGATGCACTCTAAAGATACACCTATCCCAAAACGGGATACCATTGGAATTGTCCCACAGGCATATATAGATACATACATGCACGTTACATTGACGGCTCTGGACTTAACCTCTCTGAGGTCAAACACCTCTCGGTACAACTTGGAGAAAGCTTCTCCGGGCCAAAAGTTTCGGGCGCGTTCCCCTTGGGAAACCCGACGATTTCGCTGGACAAAAAGCGAGTTGGTCAAAAGACGACATCTTGTCAATCGGGCGAACATGTGATTCGATGGGAACACGACAGGTACAGGAAGCCAACCTCTAAGGAATGCATCAACACAAGACAGTCCATGCTTTATGCAGCTTCACTGATGGTATTATTGTGATTCACTTACTCAGAAGAAGAACAAAACAACTACGGAGGACAATTCTGATCTACAAACAGCAAGTTGCTAATTTTGAAACGAGGTGCCACGCAATCCCAATGAATCAAAGAGCGCGTGCAAGACCTGCATTTGCCGCTGTTCGAGAACAAAACAACTCACAGGTTCTCCACGCCATTTCGGCAACGACACTCCTTGCACTTGCTTGCTTGCGCTTTCGCTTGCACTTGAAAAGCCTGGGCTTCCCAAACCGCGGGTCAATTACGAGCCCAGCCTAGCGTTGCTGCAGCGAAGGCCTAGCAAGTGGCGAAAGCTTCACAACCTGTCCCTGCTCAAAACGGGGAGCGGAACAAGGGAACTCACTTCGGAGAATGGTCCCAACCCAAAAGTGTCAAACGTTGAACTCAGGAAGCGAGGGAAGCCGCCTATGTTTCTTTCGGATTGAGGCCCAGATTCGTCTCGAGCCAAAGCCTCCTGTGGAAACCCGAGACGGCTTAAGGCTGGCGGGGAGGATTCCACAAACTTGAGGGACACTCCATCTTGGGCTTTGCAACATAGGGTGCCCCATTGCAATCTCCATCAAATAAACGTTTCTAGCGACTGTCGCTGCCAAGGTAGTGTACAGGATCATCGTTCTCCAAACTTGTAGGGACTGATCCGGGCTGGACAGGCACGTCTTAGATCGAGCCAAAAGCTAAACCTTGCAGTCTCCTGGCTGCTAGTCGGCCGGAGCAAATAAAGTCGTGAATCCGTGGTTTATTCCTAGGGCGTCAGTGTAAAACCCAAAAGAAGAAACAATTTTGTCATGCCCGCGCAAAGCAATATGACTCACTCACGCAACTCTACAAAGTATTACAAAGTCGAAGCAAGCATGCTCAATCGTGTTCTTGAAGCATCTTTGCATCAGTCTTTAAGCAAGGGAAACTCAATCAACCCTTGAACCCCAAGACGGTCAAACAGCTTGCTTGTGGTCAGTAGGGAATGGGATTCCCTTGCAGGAAATCATGGCTTATCGCGGGGTCATTCCATATCTCATTCCCTGCCTATCAAACCAGCAAGAAAACCAATAGGGATTCCATATATCTTTCATCCGCCCCCAAGCAGCAAGGGAAACTAAAATCAACTCTTGATCCCCAAAATGGTCAAACAAAACCTTAAAACCCTCAAGACAGTCAACCAATCCCTTGGAATACCCCAAGATTTCCAACAAAATCACAAAACTATGGAACAAGTTCCGAACCCCAAGATGGTCAAAAATCCCGCAGAACCCCGAAACTTCAAACAAACTCACAAGACAATGGAAGAAGTTCCGAACCCCAAGACGGCCAGAAATCCCATAGAACCCCAAGACTTCAAACAAAATCACAAAACAATGGAAGAAGTTCCGAACCCCAAGATGGTCAAAAATCCCGTAGAACCCCAAGACTTCAAACAAAATCACAAAACAATGGAAGAAGTTCCGAACCCCAAGACGGTCAAAAATCCCGTAGAACCCCAAAACTTCAAACAAAATCACAAAACAATGGAAGAAGTTCCGACCCCCAAGACGGTCAAAAATCGCGTAGAATTTCAAGACTTCAAACACAATCATACAACAATGGAAGAAGTCCAAACCCCAAGACGGTCAAAAATCCCGTAGAACCCCAAGACTGCAAACAAAATCATAAAACAATGGAAGAAGTTCCGAACCCCAAGACAGTCAAAAATCCCTTAGAACCCCAAGACTTCAAACACAAAACACACAAAACACTGGAAGAAGTTCCAAACCCCAAGACATTTGGCCATGGCTCAAACCCCGTACCCCCAGTGAACATCCCAATCATTCCCACTGAAATAAAGCCTAAAATGGGTTAGGAATTCACCTACCAACCAAAATGGGATCCCAAAACGGTTTTGACAACCACGGCCATGTAAGCCAAAAAACACACAACGGCAAGAGTTCCAAACCCCAAGACATTTTAAGCAAAACCACAAATCAATTGGACCAGATCAAAAACACAACTGGACCACATCGTTTACGAGACCTCGAGACCTCGCCGTCCATTTCAAGGCGCCAGCACCCCGCAGCCGGCGCCCAGCTCCAGGGCACGGCGGTTGCGGAGCCGCGGCGCCTCCGCCAGCAGCGCTTGCAACGCGCCCCAGGCCTGCGGCGTCGGGTCGTCGGGTCGTCGGGCCGTTTTAAGCCGACGCTTGGCGCTGGTGCGAAAAATCGGTGGGGAATGATGTGGTTCAATGAACCGGAACTAAGGGGATTCCCCGAAACTGGGCTGTCCGGTTTCTGATCCCCTCAAAGTGAATAACTTTTGGTGGGTGAAATTCGGAAATCCAAGCACTAAACACTAAAAATATCTACAAGGCTAAGGAACCGGATGGCTGGGCTTGTCAAGTAAAGGAAACCACCAGTTGGATGGTTTATAACCGCAGTCCCATTCTCAGGGCCTGCTTGCACCTTGCAGCAAGCCCCGCAGCCGCTTGCAACGAGCTAGACCAACAACTTGCTGGCGCGATTGGGGAATGTTAAGCGGAATGACCCCGAGATAAACCATCCAACTTGTGGTTTCATTTCTCCGGGAACCCCATTTTGGGGAATGAGAAGTGGAATGACCCCCAGAAAAGAACAAAAAACACATCTTGATTTCACTTCCTTTACCAAAATCCCAGGTCCATTCCCTCCTTCCCTGAGCACCAGCGAGAAACCATGGTGCAATCGCAAGAATCAAAAGCGATCGGTGCCAAAATGGTCCATCAAAAATTAAAGAGATACCAACGCGGCGAGGGCAGACTTTTCCTGGCTGTTACTAACCTTCATCTACCCGGGCTTTGATTGTCACCCAATTCGGCCGCTTGAAATGCGAGTTTCGGAGGGACAGTCGGAGGGAGGTGTTCCTTCAAATCAAACATTTCGAGGGCGAGGTCGAAGATGACACTATGGACGCAAATAAAGCAGTGTGTAAACATAAACATGTTCCGACAAACTCATTTCCAGTACTTGCGCAGCACGAAACAGGGGTGGCCTGTTGCTTTCCGATCACCTAAATTGGTGCACTGGTCGCCCTGAACTGGTTTGCTACATCCTGACCAAAACGCTGAGCTGTAGCAAACCCTACAAAAAAGGTTAAAATTGGCCTTATCTCTGCTCAAGCCCTCCCCCAAAGTGTCCATCTGGTTTTCACACTGCCATTTCCACCAGCAACTACTTCAGGTTGTAACAACAGCACCTAGAAGTCCCTAGTCCTAGCGACTACAGGCCAATAGTCAGAGTGATTGTCCATGCTGACAAACTGTTCGGGCTAACAAATGGACAACTGCTACGAGGCAATAGCCTTTGGCCTTGGTTGACGTTGGAAGGGGAACACAAACTTAGATTTTAGCAGTTCAGTGGGGATTTCAACCACTAAACCACAATAAGCAAAATGTAAAATGTTTCCCGACAACAACCATGTGGCTACTTCTCGGCATTCCCTCCAACTCTGTCCTTAGGCATTCTCGCCATTGGGACTTGTGACAGGCTTCAGCCCGCGCTTGCATTGAGACGAAAACTGATGAGACATGGCCTACTTTTATATAATTTCTTAAGAATATGCTTTGTGTTCCCCTGTTGGCTTTAAAGGGAATCTGTCATTGCTGGACTTACATATATATATATATATATATATGGTACCCCCCCCCCATGGACCTAGGCAAATCGCAGACTAGGGCTCTCTCATTCGCCCGGAACCCATCGCCCAGCTATTCAGCCGCCCAGCCACTTGGAGTGCAGTGGCTGAGTGGCTGAGTTGCTGAGTCGCAGTTTCAGGCGGAGTTTCTCAATTTTCATTCTTTCCGGGGATACCCGAATCTTTTCAGGCAACCATCAAAAACCAACCATCAAGAAACGGCCGGTGTTTGAGAAAAGAACCATGGCTGAACAGAATGGTTGGAATCAACCCGAGAAGAATCCCGCAAATCCTCGGGGGTTTCGAGCTGGCTGCGGGTCAAACAAATGTACCAAAATGGCACCCTGGCAAATGGAACCCAAGACTAAAACCTGCGTAACCCTACCTCTTGAATTGGCTGCCCGCGCATAGGTGGCCTTTTGGGAAAAATAGATGGGTTTCCCTGGTAAATGGAAGAAACCCCACCTAAACCAGTGGAACCCATCTATTTTTACCTAAAAAGGACACCTATGAGCCTGTATGTTTTTCCCCGGCTGAATTGTGAGCCCACACCCAGTTCCTTTCGAAGACTTGGTTGCTTTCTGCTCCCCTGCTAAAAGTTTTTAATCTCAGTGGTTTAATACGGAAACCCCATTGGTTGGCCCTTGGCAAAATGCACCAAAGTTCACGAGCGGGAACCGGGAAAGAACAATGCTCCAAGCAAAATGTTCCAAAGAAAAACTGGCCCAAAAAGCCGCGCTTCTGAGCTCCTGGCGCCTCTCCAAACGATATCACCTCAGGTCAAGCGGTTCCATATCGGAGGCCGCGTGCATATGGGTGCGTCCTTGACAATTTTTGCAGGGAACCCGCTTTTTGGTGGCCTTTTAAAGGGACACCAAAAGGCAGGGGGGCACCCTCAAAAAAAAACACCCATCTACTGAAGTCGCTGGATTTGGAGACTTTTGCATGGGCCAAACGAATGGTGTACCATAGTTTGCCTTGCGGAAAGGATGGGCCACCCTTTTCCAGTAAGTGATAGGATCCATGCACATTAGCTAGACCGCCTTCTCAATCAGCGCGACGATGCGCGTGAACACAACTTTGATGCGAGCCATGTGTCTGACATTTCCTCTGGCATGTACACATGTTTACACTGCATTGAATTCGAGAAAAACCATTCTCGGAAGAGGACAATTTTTCGGTTGACCCCCAGAAGATAGACCCCCAAAAGGGGGTTCCACAACTCAATCTGCAGAGAAGCCTGCTGCACGTAAGATCTGATTTCGATCAAGGCTCCGGAGCAGCCCATGGGCCATCCAAATAGCCTCAGCTCGAACTCTGAGCGAGGGCGAGCATAAAACTACCCAGTTTGCACAGCTAGTACAGTCATCCTATGTAACCCTTAAGGGGTTTTCCTTGCATAAAAACCTGGCGGCGATAGCGAGAAGTTGCTATGAACCATTTGTCAAGTCTCCGAACAGTCTGATTGCAGCTGCCCCGGCAAATCCCGGAAAGTCGCAAGGCAAGTTGCAAGCACGGCCTCAAAAAACAAGGTCGTCATCTTTTTTGGTCTTAGTCAGCTTCAGTTTGTGTCATGTTGGCTGTTTTTACAGCACCCGCACTCGTTTTGGTCGACCCTGACTCATGTTGGTCAGGGATTCTCATTGAGTCACGGTCCATAATTAGAGCTAGGTCCTCCAGTAGAGAGGATAGAATAAGGGCACCCTTTTTGCTGCAGTCTGTTTTAGTAGGGGAAGCCTCCCCCAAAAAAGGGCAAAAGGGCACTACTGGGGGACCTAGTAGAGTCACCCAGCCTGGTGCTGCCAATCAGTCGCTTAATCACACCCATGCTAGCCTTCCTGGCAGACTCTAAACACACTAGCTTTCGGGACAAACACAAACAAACAAACAAACAAACAAACAAACAAACAAACAAACAAACAAACAAACAAACAAACAAACACATACCAGACATAGGACCGAAACGGGACCAAACTTAGGACCGAAACACAAGAAATCATAAAATAAAACCAATTTGCGACGCGAAAGGATACGCCCTCCTCAAAAAGCTCCCAGCAGGCCCTGCCAAAGGAACCTGATCGAGAATATTGTGACAACCCTTCCCAGTGATTCCATGTTCCCTGGTTTTGTGGGCAAAGGGAGCCAGCCTAGAGTGGAGGGAAGCGCTCCCATCCGTCACTTTTCCACTTCCGGCTTCTTTTGGTTGGTGAGGCTGATTCCCCCAACCTTTACGCCAACGGAAAATGGATCGAAGGCTACCTACTATATAGCTCTAGTGGTTGATTCCAACCATTCTTTTTAACATCGTTCTTTTCAAAATCCGGCTGTTCCCCCTGGGTGTTTGATGGTTTCCTAAAAAGATTCGGATCCCTGGAAAGAATGGGGAAGTGGTGAAATCAGCCGCTGAACGGAGACTTATTTCCATGGCTTTTGTGGGTTATTTCACTTGGCTAGGTCCTCCAGTAGAGAGGTTAGAATGAGGGTAACCTTTTTCCTGTAGTCTATTTTAGTAGGGGAACCCTCCCCCCAAAAGGGTAAAAGGACACTGCTGGGGGACCTAGCAGGCCTACGATCGCCACTTACCTGACGTAGTTTTTGCATGGATCGCCCCTTTCAGCATGGGTTTAATATTAGACACCTCCAGCCTGCACCCCAAATCTGCTTTCCTGGATCCACTTGGCTTGAGTCACAATCAAAACCTGGTACAACAATGGTCTACCCATAACCATGTACAGAATTAAGAAGGCGGAATTCCGCAACCATTTCCGGCTGGGACTGCCCCTTACTAACCTTCATCTACCCGGGCTTTGATTGTGGCTCATTTGCCTTTTCGTCCCCTGGAAATAACCAGAAACATACGTCCACTGGTGATACGTTCACCTTAAAATTGGTGAGCGAGCTCCAACCCCGGAAAACAGGTGAGCGCGCGCACGGCTGAAAACCCCACCGAGGGGCCGCAAGACGAGCTTCCCCCCTGGCAGCTCCGGGGCCTCGAGCTCCACCTCGCGCCTCCGAAACGGACGCAGAAACGGACGCCCGGTGCGGACCTGGAAATCAAAGCAGAGCACCGTGTAAGGGGCCAAAAACAAAAAACACGTGGGAACCCAAAATAGGAAAGCCTGAGTTGATGGTGCAAACAGACCCAAAATGGGAAAACCTGTGATGCAAAGAAAAGTTGAGGAGGGGCCCTACTTCCACCGTCTCTGCGCGCAGACATGTCAAAAAATCGCGGTGCCGGGCATATTGGGCAACTCATCAAATGAGAGACTAGTCTGCGGCAATTTGTGTTCGCCCCCAGGGAACAATGAGAACATATGTTCAGTAATGAATTTGATTTCCTTTAAACGCAAAGAGGAAAGTTATAAACATGTTCATTTCAGCAAATAGAAGGGCGCAGTGGTATCATGTAAACATGGCTGGCAACCACCAAGTAAACACAAGTGCTTGCAATATCCGTGACAAGGCATCCATAAACCCAGTGGTTCCATGTCCTTGTCGGCAAGGGCAGCACCCTTTCAAAACTGAAAGGATCCGATTGTCTACTGCAGGGGAATTCAGGTGGAACCTTTTGAGGTGCTGTATCTCTGCGAGTCTTCAGCACACAAAACGCCCTCGAGATCTGACGTGGCCCCATCATGAGCGCGGTCCAGTAGCGCCTAGCAAGCAAAGAGAGAGACTACAGAACAGTGCTTCAACAATTGCTCAGCGGCCTAAACATGATAACGGGAAGGCGGGATAGCAAATGCCAAGCCGACAATCAAAGGGAGTCCACAAGCTTCTCCAAGCACGATTCTGACCCCTCCACCCCCCCAATAGTTCCGCCAACTACTTCGGGGGCCCTTCGCTTATCACTAGCCTGCGTTACCTTGAAACGCGCGCTTGTTCGGCTGCCGCAGAGACAGCCTGGCAGATCGGATAGGAAGTAATCGCAAATGCCCAACATCGCATCGTTGCGCCTTGCATTAACTTGCCGAAATTCCCCAGCAAGCCAGTCATTGCAATCAAGGGACTCGACGTATTCATCCTCGGCGAAAAGCATGGCAAGGATACAGCTGGTTGCGCTGCCGTGATGCGCTGTGCTGGCCGCCCTGTCTGCGCAGCACCAAGATGGCAAGTGTGACTGCAAGGCCTCTCTATGAGATCCTTGAACCATGTATTTCAAACGTTCCTTTCTCAATCGCAAAGCTCACTTCCGACTTCCCTTTGCGCGATTCTCATCTCCTGAGTGGATTGGCCAACCAAAAAGACGAACCCCCTTGTTTACTATTCAAATTTGATCTTCCCAAAAAGCATAAAGTCAAAAAACCTCAGGCCATTCACTGCATGCAATTGAGGAGCCATATCCGCATTACGTCCTCTACTTTGGGCCAGATCGGCTGGAGTCGAATCTCGCACTCGACACTTTGAGATGCTTGTCTGGCTTCCGGGCTTCCTTAGACCCATTATTTTGCTGCCTTGTCCCAAATGAGCGGAGGCAAACAACCTCTTCATAAGCCCTTCTACTAACACATTACGTTCGCAGAACCATTCGCAAATGCTTTCCCGACCGCATACGCCTCTTTCGCGCGAACTCGGTACATTTCGGCAGCTCCTGCTCGAAAGTTGCAACTTTCCAGTCTAAGTTGACTATGCGCAGCATACACCTGGAAACTTGCAACAACATGCTCACGCACGCGTACAAGTGCTTGCTTGCGCAGGTTTAGCATAATTACACGGCCTTCGCAATGCCGTAACTGGGCTGCCCTCAGATCGCTCGCTAAAGTTAAACTTTTAGTGGGTTAAATTCGGAAATCCAACCACTAAACACTAAGAATAATTATCTAAAAAGCTAAGGAACCGGATGGCTGGGAGCCACCAGGGTAATTGAAATGAACCACATCGTTTACGGCACTGCTCAACACGTTGTGACGGGACTCTGTTGCTGGGAGGGCAAGCTTCGGCCCGGCTTCCGTGCATTGAGATGCAACAAAAAATCAGAAAGCCCGGGATAAGTTGAGGCGGACTCGACCACAATGCATATCAATAGGCATACAGTGGGTGGACAAAATCCGGCACTACCTTTGAAACCCTGGAATGATGAATCCGCTGAAAATACCAACAAACAATGGTTTACCATGGCCTATTTGCATTGGTTTGCAAAGGAACATTGTCTAACTCAGCAACTTCCTGCTGTTCGCGCAGCCCAATCTTATAAACCAAGCACTTTCGCAAGACTTTGGCGACAGGCTTTTTCGCAGGCTTTCGCTCGCCCTGCGGTCTAGCTGCTGAGGATTGCTGGCGCTGATTAAATGGGCTTGCGCAGGCCGCCAAGTGCCACGTTCCACGCAACGTTGTGTTCTATAACTTCAATTGGGACCCTTTGGTGGACACTCGGTATTTTTTAGCTTGAATTGGGACCCTTTGCACATTGCTATGGATTCATGTCCAGCATCTGAAAGGGCCTTTAGAATTTTGCCGCAAATCTGACGCTCCGGTTCAGGGCTCCGGGAAATGACCACTTCTGATACAACAAGGGCTTCCCAAAGACTAACCCCCCATACTGTGGATGGACGAAATCCTGCACCACCTAAACACCCGAGTGATGCTTCCCCTGTAAATACCAACGAACAATGGTTTGCTATGGTTTCAAAGTGGTGCGAAATGGATTTCGCAACCACCCACAGTATCAAGGGGAAGATCCCCTATCACCCAGAGGGTCCAAGTACCTAAGCAGGTCGACCCCTTTGTCCCCCCAAAAGCTACTACCCTCTGGGTTAAACCGCGACTCCCACGACCCGCGACCATGTTTTCCTCTCCGGAGAGTCGTCTCGAGGTCTGCCCACACGCCCGAGTGGACGGAGTGGACGGAGGGGTCCATCCCCCGAAATCGGAGAGAACTCAGGCGACCCGAAGCCTTCCTCATTGAGCCGATGGCAACCAAAAAAGTAACCGAACTTCTTGCATACCGCTAACATGGTCCAAGCCCAACAAGTGACTAAAGTCCGAAAAACATCAAGTCCGAAATGGAACTCAAGGAGTGAGAAGCTGGCTTCTTGTCTTGCGCGAGATGTCATTTGCTTTTCTACTTGCTCTGTACAGTACGTTACCATTCAGTCTGGAACAGCCAGATTTCAAATGGAGTGGGGAAACTTGTCAAAAAGGCCAGGAGAGAGTCAATGCCGCACCAAATGGTTCTGGAAAATCCACTGGGCAACTGCGCGGACACCATAAAAGCGACACTGCAGAAAGGTGAAGTGCGGACCAATATGACAGGAATCAAGCTATCCACCTTTCGAACAAGTGCAGTGTTGAACAGTGCCGCATTCACCAGCAGCACGCGAGCTAGTTGTTGCAACAGAAAACTTTGCGGGAAACGTGCTAAACATGGGTGTGTATACTTTAGGGGACCTTCAAAATGGTGGGATACCTTTGGGTTGTCCAATTAACATCAAAACAAAAGGGGTGCCACCAAAAACAGACACACCCATATCGCAAGCACACCATCAATTCCCGGCCGTCTCAGGCCATCACTTGGCATCGTCAGACCTTCTCAGCCACGTTGCTGAATCCACAACTGGCTGTGCCTTTTGGTGCTACCCCTTTTCTGGTGGGTTTTAACGGGAAACCAAGGCCGACCGCCGTTTCGGAGGGTCCCCTAAAAAGACACACCCAACTCTCAACTCGCAAAATCCTGTCGCCCTCTGTCATACGACTGTATTGGTAGCATCCCTTGGCACCTCGAGATGTTGTGGCCAACACGCCTCAGAATCCTAAACATAAGGATCACCACTCCCAAAGCCACAGTCCAACCTGTCAACTTGGGGCCAGCCGCCGAACTCTTTAGCAGCGGAAGACAGCTGCGGCGGACTATATAAGGTATCGGTAGAACCTTTGAACAATTACTCAAATTGGGACATATTTCGGAATAGCTCCCGCAGTGTTGCACATATCTCCTGGAAACAACACAGAGAAGGGTCAAACAAACGAGCCGCTCACGCCCCAAAAGCATTCATGTCGATCCATGGTTCACGCAGAAAGATGTCTAACATCACTTCCTGAGGCCTCCCGCGACTTTGTTTTTCCGTTTGTTATTTGGGTCTGATTGCCCAGGACACAAGCTTGCTCAACAGCCTGTCTGACCAGCATCTATATAAAGGCAGCTCGCTTTTCTGCTTCGTAGTCCCGTTGACTTCTCAGAGGAATCTGCTTTTGGCGCCCTTTTTCCAGGGTACCTTGTGAGTCACAGCCAAAACCCATCGCTACTAACATGGTCTACCCAGAGATCGAACAAGGCGGCGAAGGCACACGGCTTTTGGCAAGGGGAGTATCCCTAAGTCACTTGATGAGTGCACTGGCCAAAAAGTCTGAACTATTGAACTTACCACTAAAATGGTCCAAACCCAAAAAGTGACTAAAGTGAGCTAACCTCCATCTAGACTTCCATTTGCTTAAGACCCCTGGAAAAAAAATCCAGTAGTGATAGATTCAATTGAAAACCAAAAAGGAAGAATAAACAATATGCTTAAGCAAATGGAAGTACCCCAATCGGGTTTGAGAACGTGACTCAGGTTTGTTCGGACGTCGCCCATGCGCCTTCACACCGGGCACCGCCTCTGCGTCAGCTTCTTCGCCTCCTTGCCGTTGTCCAGCTGAAGAGCGGCCTGGCGGAAGCGGCGGAAGTTCCAATCAGCGGCGCCAGGAGTGCTTCTACAGGGAAGCCTACACATGTGTAGTGTCTTTTTATTCCCTTCTAATTCATATGAAATTATTCAACCGTCCGCCAATGGAGGAGCAAACAAAACGCTACTCACATGGCGGTCAGTGTGAAGATCTACTCAGATAGGATGGTGTCTAACAACCCCAGTTTGGCTTCATAGGGGGGTGCTTTTCCCCGGGCGAAATGTGGTTGGAATCACACTTTTGGGGCCCTATGAAACTAAACTGGGGTTGATTAAAAGTGGGTCAACCTTACAGGGAGGCCTACAACATGGCATCCTTCAGTGTGAAGATCTACTCAAATAGCTCCACCTGTAGAGTCAACACTTGACCTTGAAGTTGCTGACCTTTGGGAAGATACAACTGAGTCATAATCAAGACCCATCGGTATCAAACTCGAGACCAAAACGCCATCTAAATAATTTTCCCAGGCGGCGAAGGCACCCATTTGTGGCAAGGAGAGTATCCCTTACTCACCTTCACCCACCCGGAATTTGGTCGTGGCTCACCTTGACATTGCTATAGCAGCCGCTGCACCGATGATAAGCCATCGCAGCTCGGATGGGACCTTGCAGCCTGATTCAAACCCTTCGGAACCAAGCCAAATTCGTCCTCCCGCCGTCCCACAAGTATCGTTCACTCAATTGGCCTCAAACGTTGGCGAGGCATGGACTTAGCCTCACAACCCTTGGTATGGTTGCAAACAACTTTGTTTTTTGCAGCCCCCTACTGAAAAAGCACAGAACCAAAGAAGTGACAACAAAAAACAACAACATGCCAAGAACAGTGAAGGTAGACCAGTTTCATTTGGGGCATTCCAACAAGCGTCATAGAGATAAACCGTCCGAAGCGTTGATGGCCGTTTGCGTTTCGCAAGATTGTGATGGTACGGGCCATCCCCTTCAAACACAACTCACAGCTCCGCCGGACACTCGAACGCAATGCAGGCAATGGGAAAAACATCGCAGCGCAAATTCTGGCGCAAGTTCCCCGAGACAAACGGTACGTATTTCAGATACACACAGCTGCCGCTATGCCGCGCCAACCTGCTTCAGAGCTGCAGGTCCTAACGTTGATCATTACTTTTGTGGCTTGCCACGAATAGATCAACTCAGCCAGTCTTTGGGGTAGCGTCTCTCTATCTGCGTTTGGGCATATGTATCATGCGATAGTATGAATGCATACTTCAGGCATTGAAAGAAATGTGTTGCCCCATCCCCTCAAAATCAAGAACTGACACATAGCTTCAAATCGACAATATATTTCAAGGGGCACAGTACTTAGTAAGTTAGCAAGCCTAGTTATACCCACAGAAGCGATAGTTCGAAGTTTTCTTGGGTTATA